TGTGTTTACTACACCACCCTGCCCACGTGTGATTGGCTGTGAGATGGTGAGTAGTGGGATGAGTAAGCTGTGTTTACTACACCACCCTGCTCCCCGTGTGATTGGCTGAGATGGTGAGTAGTGGGGTGAGTAAGCTGTGTTTACTACACCACCCTGCCCACGTGTGATTGACTGTGAGATGGTGAGTAGTGGGGTGAGTAAGCTGTGTTTACTACACCACCTTGCCCACGTGTGATTGGCTGTGAGATGGTGAGTAGTGGGGTAAGTAAGCTGTGTTTACTACACCACCCTGCCCCCGTGTGATTGGCTGTGAGATGGTGAGTAGTTGGGTGAGTAAGCTGTGTTTACTACACCACCTTGCCCACGTGTGATTGGCTGTGAGATGGTGAGTAGTGGGGTAAGTAAGCTGTGTTTACTACACCACCCTGCCCCCTTGTGATTGGCTGTGAGATGGTGAGTAGTGGGGTGAGTAAGCTGTGTTTACTACACCACCCTGCCCCCTTGTGATTGGCTGTGAGATGGTGAGTAGTGGGGTAAGCTGTGTTTACTACACCACCCTGCCCCCTTGTGATTGGCTGTGAGATGGTGAGTAGTGGGGTAAGCTGTGTTTACTACACCACCCTGCCCCCTTGTGATTGGCTGTGAGATGGTGAGTAGTGGGGTAAGCTGTGTTTACTACACCACCCTGCCCACGTGTGATTGGCTGTGAGATGGTGAGTAGTGGGGTAAGCTGTGTTTACTACACCACCCTGCCCACGTGTGATTGGCTGTGAGATGGTGAGTAGTTGGGTGAGTAAGCTGTGTTTACTACACCACCCTGCCCACGTGTGATTGGCTGTGAGATGGTGAGTAGTGGGGTGAGTAAGCTGTGTTTACTACACCAGCCTGCTCCCGTGTGATTGGCTGTGAGATGGTGAGTAGTGGGGTAAGCTGTGTTTACTACACCACCCTGCTCCCCATGTGATTGGCTGCGAGTGGGGTGGCGGGACAGGGGAGGGGGGGGGGTGTTGGTAGTCTCCTTCGCTATTGGTGGAGGCCCCGGTTCCTCCGCCGGCCAATCCGCGCCCTCGTAGCTGGAGCCGTGGTTGCGGGGCCCAGTCCCCCCCGGGACGGCCTCCACAGCGGCAGCAGCACCACCAGCAGCAGCACCACCACGGGCAAGGCCGCGACACTGAGCGCAGAGACCCCCCCCTCTACGTAGTCACGGTGAGTACCGTCGCGATGGGTACCGCCAGTGGGTACCCGCTGCAGTGTGCGGTTGTTGTTATACGGTGGGCGGCGCGGAGTGGGGTGGTAGCTGTCCTCCCGCACGCCACCCCGTGAGGCTCTGTGCTCGTTGAGATTGGACTGTGGGTGTGGGGGAGCGGTGGCGCACTGGTTAGCGCACTGCGATACAGCAACAACAACAAAAACACCCCAAGAGGAAAAGAAGAGTTCGATTCCCGGCCATGCGGCTAACGGTCGGTGACGAGTGATATCTTCGAAGCAGTTCTGGAGGCTCGCCTCGATTGACACGGCCTTTTAAATGAGAGAGTATGCCCGAAATATCAAGCGCGGTGCTGGGGACACGCCACCCAGCCACTTCCACCTTCGTGTTGCCGTGCCCCCGGCCTTAATAGGCGCTCGCCAACCACAACAGGCGCTTGCGCCCCTCTCTAACCGCGTGTAGGCTGCCGCCTACGTCGTCTGTGACTTCCCGTTGTGGCCTTTTGTTTAGCCGCGTTCGTTCACTTGCCCGTCCCGCGGTCGCGGATGAAACTTGTCGTGTGCACGTACCGACGAGGTTATCGTTCGTGTCGCCTCGTGTGTACTGTGTCGCACGAGTACTGCCCGTACCGGCTGTCCGGCCTGTTACAGTCGCCTCGTGTGTACTGTGTCGCACGAGTACTGCCCGTACGCGCTCCTCGGCACCGTATTGTCCATCTCGATCCCGCCGTCTCGTTCCGTGTGGACTTTCTGACCTGCTTGTGCTTCCAATGCTGCCGTATCTGTACCGACCTGTCCGTACTGCCGGTGCCGTCTCACTGTCTCTGCCGTGCCTCTCTCGTCTGTACTGTCGGGTTTGTTTCTTGCTGCCCTGCGTCTGTCTCATTTGTGCTGTCGGGTGGTGGGGTACTGCCTGTACTGTCGCGTAGATATCGTCTTTAGCGTCCGCGTTCGTTTAGCACCACCTCGTTTGTACCGTGTGTTGTGTTTGCGCTGCCTGTACCATCCCCATGTGTGCTGTGTCTCCTTTGTACTGCTGGTACTGCCTGTGCTGTCTCACGATATGTGATGGGAGTGCGAGCGATATTTTACGCGAGATTTGAGTCTGGACAGTGTGTGAAACCAGCATGCGGGGAGTTAGTGGAAGTGTGAGCTGTCACGATGCGAGATATCACTCGATGTTACAATGTGGGCTGACACACGGTGAGATGTGTCACAGCGTGAGCCGTGTGTCGGCCATATATCTCACCGTAACATCTCACAAGTTGTTACAATGCGAGATGTTACGGTTGAGATATGTCACAGTGCAGGATGTCGCCGTGAACTATGGCAGCGTGAGCAGCGTGAATTGTGAACCTTGACGGCGTGAATTGTGAGTGTGGGCTATTACATGCGTAAGCTGCGACAGTGTTGGATGTTGCAATGTGTTGGCAGTGTGAGGTTAGAGTGAGATGTGACGGTGGTAGAGAAATGACGAGGTGAGTTGTGACGCTGAGCTGCGACGCACCTGTCATTACAATGTTAACATTCAGTGCGAGATGTGACAATTTGTGTAAGCTCTTACAGTGTAACCTCTTACAGTGTGAGCTATTACAATGCGAGTGGTTGCATCATGTGCTGTGATAGTATGGGATGGGACCGTGTGCGATGGGACAATTGTAACCTTTGACAATCTATAAGCTACGGCATTTTGTGGGCTGTGATTAATTCGTGAGCTATTACAGGATAAGGTTTGGCAATTTGTAAGCTTGACAGTGGTCAGACGTGACACTGCGAGCTGTGATGTTCGTGTGTATGTTGAACTTCTTTCGCACCGTACTTAACCAACGAAACACAACAAGCAGTTCTAAAGAAATGCATTTTTCAATCTAGACAATGCCAGTTGTAATATTTGTTTGTCATTTGTAGCAAAATTTGCTTCCCCGACCACTTTTTTTTTCAAGCATTGAGAATAATTCCTGTTGCAGGGTTTCTTTGAAAAACGGGCATGAGCTGGCAGAGTATAGTTTTTTTTACTCTTCCTTCTCGCCCAATGTGTTTGTTATCCAGGGATCTTGTTGTCCATTGGCCAGTCAATCCAAAGTTATTACTGTTACCCAGAGCCCCATATAGTTTAGCATATCGGGAAAGAGCAAACAGCTTTATTATAGTAGTGATGTAATTTTGGTCCCAAAGAAGGAAATGCAAGAAGTTTTCTTCAGTAGCACTTGCCTCGTGTCACCCCTGATACAAAATTTGTCTGCAATCAACATTAATTGTGCGTGGCAGGCTATTGAATCTTTTCTCACCTTCTGAGGGGGTGAGGTAAACACCGAACGCTTCCTCTGGTTGGCGATATTGTGAACCAGAGGGTTTCCTGCCGCATCTTGGTTCTTGCGTCACGGATAATGGATGGAGATTGGGTGACAGAAGTGTCAGAATGGCAGGCTGTTGTGCAGGTCATGGGAGGTGATGCTGGTGTATTCGGGAAGATGGTGGGGGCGAGGATTGGGAGGGGTTGTCAGTAATTCCAAGTACTGCAAGATTTCATCATTGTCAAGAGTGATGTATATTTATACAGTGTTGTTGTCAGCAGTCATGTGTCAGCCATATGTCTGCCAGTGAAAGAATAATTAATTGGACTGCAGGCGGCAAACTCCTCAGTGTTTATGTGAACTGGTAGGCATATTCATGGTGTTAAATGAGAATCGGCCTTACAGCTGGAAAGTAAGCATTGTTATTGTTAAAACTTGCCAAAAAATGATACCGAAGCTTTTTACACGTTTTCACAATGTAGGTTATAAGTGCAGGATCAAAGCCAGGTCAGATTTTTGAGGCATGTTGTCAGTGGGCAGGAAGAAGCAGATGACATTATGGATGGGAACAATTTATGTAGTCGTATTTTGTTTTAACCTAAAACACAATCGGTTATGCTAAGCACAGCCAGGAAAATTCTCTAGAAGAGTTTAAATTAGGAATTGTTTGTACTATCCTTGCACAAATGTTCTATGCCTAGAAATGAAACTGCACACTGTGGGAGTGTGTATTGTGTAGGTACTGTATCCGTTTTGTGTGTTCTGCACAGTGTGGAAATGGCACAGCTAAAACCATAGGTTTTCTTTCTTAACAATGTGTTGCACTGTACCACCATACTAATCTATGCAGCTCGTAGAATGTTTAAATACTTTTGGCCAGTGTTTCCCAGTACTGCAGTTCTCATACTACCCAATAGTCAACTTTTTTGCATGTTTATAATGCAATGGGTGTATCTGCATTCACATACAGCACTCAGTTGCTTCGTGGTCTGTGCACTGATCACCAAGTCGATTGTAGACCGCCAGATAACATTTGCGGCAGCATGTCTTTTTATGTCACTGCAATTGACCAATTCCTAAATTTGACAATTACTCTTTACCCAACTGAAGGGGAACACAGTTAATTGTGGTGAATTCTTTGGACGTCATTTCCTCCGAAACGTAGTTTCCTCATTTTTTTTATTTGACCCTTAACTCCTTTTACAAAAACATAGTTCGATTGCCTAAATGTAAACATGAATGAAGAATACTGGTAAATTCATGTTAAAGGGAGTGATGATTGAAACCTCCACGTAAAATTATTTTTTTACTAGGCAAGGCCTGCTCAGCCATATAGCTCTTTTTCAAAAGCGACCTGGCTACAAACGATAGCTCAAAGAAGTGGCTTATCATATGCCAATTTATAGCAGCCAAATACTCGAAGCACATGTTTCTAAATGTGGAGGGAAAAACCAGAGGACCGGGAGAAAAATCAATGCAACCACGGAAAGAACATGCAAACTCCAAATATACAGTAGGCGTCAGGGTCGGGATAGAACCCACGACCTCCTGTATACCAGGCGAGGTAGTTAACATCTTCGCACCGTGGCACTCTTAAAATCATACATTTCTCTCCCTTTGTGCCCAATAAAATGTAACGTTGTGGAGGCAGCGCTATATAGGATTAATGTTGTGTAGCCTCCCGGAGTGAAGAGCCTCGGTAAGGGAATTCATGATGAAATCGTTGGCGTACAGGGATGAAAAGAGGTCTGGGGTAATAAACCATCCTGTGGCCCACCCGGGCAAGCCAAGGCAAAATACTATCGAGCAATCAAAGTCTTGAGAGGCAAGCTCAGTCAAATGGAATAAAACCATCATGATTACCTTTCGCATTGGCACCATTCGAATAGCACGCAAGGCTGTCACGGAGGTTCTCTGTTTCAAAGACAATTATAATTTGCTGTGGTTTCACACTTGAGCAGACGAAGTTCGTATATCGCTTTATCGAATTGGGTAATTTGCAAGTAATTTTCAAATGTGATGAATTTTGGTTCGTGCTGCCAACAAACACGTCCTACTGTTTTTCGAAAAATATTATGGGATCTTAAATGTCCACTGTGAGTCATGTGATGTGTATATTTTTTAGTTTACTCACCCGCAGCGTAAATCAAGCAGCAAACGCGCGACTACTAGGCCATGTCCACCGCCCAAAGCCAGCAAGGACACGCCATCAATAATATCTGTAGTCAACGTGTGCGCGAACCGAGTTGTAACGTGTGGCCAACTCACTGCAGTGTGCTTGTGTAGAGGATCCGAGTAGTTTAAGTGGAGCTTGAGGACTGAACTACAGTCAATTGACAAGACCCATTTCGTGTAATTATAATTGATTTTTGAAGCTATACTTAAATTACCCATAAGCAAAGTTAATTGTACATTGAGGGCATCCCATCCTGTCGATGAGGTCGATCTTCATTATGAGCCATGCCTTCTGCCCTATTATCCCATTCAGATATTATTCGCCACTGACCCCTTAGCTTTGGCCAGGACTCAAACTCGTGACTTGATTCGTATCACAGTGAGTGAACCACTGCACCACCATTCCTCCCTGGTAATGTTACCCACCACTTTATTCTATATGATCCATTTTATTCTGCCTCCATATATATTTTTTCAAAATGTATTTTTCATCAAAAATTTTGCCAGCATTGTTGTGCCTTGATTGCTGTTTGGTGTCTAAAATTAGCACAAAAGCATGCAGGACTGATTATTTTAAAAAAATGCCTATAATGGTCTGCCTCCAATTTTTTTTGTAGATATCGATCAAGCCAGAAAAACTGAGTTGCTGAAGCTGTCTCTGGTGATGTTCTAACCATTTCGGACGCCGAATGAACAAATTGCAGAGATGGTCAGTTGATACCACCAACGCACGCATGCACGCGACCATGTGCAATATAAGGGGAAAGGTATGTTTATCAAAACTCGGAATGTCAAACAAAGTTACTTTTACGTCTCGGCCAGGAGGCCTTGACTTGGACTTGATGTGCAGCTGCATAGCCCTTGAGCGACCTTGAGAGTGAGGGTAGGAGAGTGGTGGTAGGTGGTGTTGGTAGTAGGCAGAGAAGCCAAGTGGGGAACGGGCTAAAGCAATGGGCCAGTGCATCTTCCGCTGCCAACGGGACGCCAGCTCTTCTAGTGCGTCTGCGTGGCCAAGCAAGAGCAACTCGAGCGCCGCCGAAAAGTCTAAACGAGTGCACGGCGGTGCCAGTCCCCAACGATCCGGCCACGCTGACTCCCCGCTGGACACGTGCGAGCAGCGCACGGGCGGGGCGCACCTATCCAAACCGGGCAGCGGAGACCTGTCCACCACCATGCTGCTGTCGCAGGATGACCGCTCACCCCGGAACTCGGGCCCCAGCCTGCACGAGTCGGAGTTCTCGCTGGCTCGCGCCCATGCCCTCTTCAACAAGTACAAGGACGAGAGGGAGGACGCCATCCTTGCCGAGGGCATGGAGGAGTTCTGCCAGGACCTCTCTGTGGACCCCACCGAGTTCATCGTGCTCGTCATGGCCTGGAAGTTCAAAGCGGCGACGATGTGCAGGTTCACCAGGTGAGGTGGCTCACGCGACACGAGCAAACGATGATGATGAAGGCAACCGAGGGTTATCTATCAATGTAATGTGAACGCGTACATGCACGTACGTCCCTTTGTCATTTCGCTGCTGGATGAGAGCCTCCTGGTTTCTTTGCTTGTTGTGGGGTTACTTGACAACACTTCACACTTGCCAGTGCGAGTTGGGGAAGGCAGAGAGCATTGATATAGGAGTATAGAAGTACAGTACCATAATATATTTGTCTGCACTGACCCTCTGTTACCCACCACGTATCCTTGCATCCTTTAACACCTATTATGCATGGCGGTCACCCATATAATTACTGTACGGGCTCAATCCTGCCCATCTTCCGAGATTTTATGTGATCGGGTGCATTCTGGGTGATTTGGTCATGGGCAATTTGTTTCGTCATGTACGGTAAGTCCTCCCTTAATGCGTGCGCACACAACACGCTTTCACGATAATGTGTTTCTTCCATTAGGGAACAATGCGGAACGTGCCCATTATAACGTGGAACATGCCTGTTATAACACGAAACGCGCACCGTTATCACGCCATTTCTGAGCAGTCAACGACGAACTATTTGAGCTGCTTGGCTGAGCGGTACGGTACAGTAGGCGGAATGACATAGTAACGCAGCGGCGTACCCTCAATTATTTGTGTACATCGTATCTCGCCAAACATTATTATTACATTATTTATAGGGAAATTGTTTTCGCTAAACGTGTTTTTCGCGAAACGCGGCACTTTTCAGGAACGTGTCTACCGCGTTAAACGAGGTCTTGCTGTACAAATTCTGTGGAGTGGTGGCACATTGCTAAGCGCACTGCACTCTGAACCCAGTATCCTGAGTTTTGATTCTAGGCCATAGCTAATGACCAGGGTGGTGAATTTGGTCAAACTGTCCTCATGACTCGTGTGGAATTGGGAGACCCTCATACAGTAGTGAACTGTCAACTAGCTGTACATGTACAGGCAGACCCTCGCTTAGCGCGACCCTGTAGAACGCCGATTCGTTATAGCGCTCCTTGTCCTGGAGGAGAAAATGTTAACAAAAAATGAAGAGAAATCCAAAAAGCACTTACGGGTGAGAACTCGCAGTGCTGGCCAAGGAAACCGACTCGCCCCCCATTATTCATTAAGCCAATGAGAGCAACGGACACTCTGAGCCATCCAGACCCCACCCACCGCGATTCGTAGTCACGATTATAAATAAATAAAGGGTTTTTTTCTTTTCAATAGTAGCCAGGTGAGAACTCACGAGACCAGGATAGTCTTGAGGCTCCACCTCAAAGAATCTGCACCACAGAGATGTAAATTGAGGGGCTTCACTAAGATCACAGAGGTCTTGGAGCTCTTGGCTGACAGTGACCCTGATAGGGAGCGTAGCTGCTCTTCCAGCCTCGTCTCCGACTGCTGCCTTGTAAGAGGAGTCCAGTTTGAATGCACTCGCGAGTACAGTACATAATACTGATGTTATGAAAATAGTTATGATTTATGAAATAATTTTTACCATCTGTATCATTGTTAACGCTATTACCGATATCCCCGTGAACGCCCTCTTTTACAAAATAAATAACACCGTCAGGAACATATCCCCATATATACAATGGGGTATAATGACCCCTTAGAGCGCCGATTTGATTAGCACTCACTTCAGGAACACATCTTGAGCACTAAGCAAAGCCTGCCTGCACGTGTAATTCCAAATACACTACTCGTTCGTGGGTGTCGCTTGATAAATTTATATTACTGAATGGATGCTCTGATGTTGCAGGCAACCGCATTGCATGTGAAGCATGAGGTCAAAAAGGTTGCAGCAATGGGAGTAAAATTCTCGCCGTGTGCTGCATCGACGCATTCTGCCTTATATAAATGAAATCAGTCAAGGATTTATTGAATTGTAAAAATGAAACGACAGTAATTTAATCCACCAATCGTGGCCCTCCATGTTAATGTATCCCTGTATTGTTAAAACAGGGCAAACCCTGAGAGGGAAGTTTAATCTTGCGTGCGGTTCTGTGGCCATCTGGAACACTGTTCCTTCCGATATTAGAAAGCCACTGCAGCCATGCACTTTTAAATATAGATTGAAATCTCATTTCTCTAGAACTGATATTTGTGTTTAGTTTGTTGTCCTTCCACCGATGAGCACGGTTGGTTATGTATAATGCGAGACACACTTTATACATAACCAGCTGAGTACACACAGAGACAGTAATCTCTTGATCAATAGCGAGCTGGCTCTCATCGACAGAGGATAGCGGGCTTGTTAAACAGTTACTGCCCGGTCACCTGGTGTTTGAAACAAGGTCCAGTCACGAGCCGTCTACATGTATCTGGAAAGCTCATTGTGATATGTATTACCTTATTCTCCGGATTACAAAGTGCACTTTTTCCCCGCCTAGATATTTGATGCCTGAAATCTAACACCTGGACATGCAGGTTACAATTGTGCTCTGTGTCCAATAAATCTGTACCACTCAGCGTATGTGCCACTCAGTCTATACACTTCTCCACTCGGGTTGTATGCAGCCACTTAGTCCACCAAATAGATAATACGAAGAGACTGGATAGTTTTAAATAAATATGTGCGTTTTCGTATACGCTCCATTCTTACAGCACAAGGGCTGTCACGAAGGAAGGCACAATGTTGCTGCTTTGTCAACTTTACTAAACGTTTCTATCTTGCGTTTACTATGGCATAACTGGGTGAGAGTTTGAGATAAATCGGCAACGGTTCTACTGGCACTCTATACAAACTCATTATAAAATTCTATATATATCCGTGCTTCTACTATGGCGTTTACTATGGCATAACTGGGTGAGAGTTTGAGATAAATCGGCAACGGTTCTACTGGCACTCTATACAAACTCATTATAAAATTCTATATATATCCGTGCTTCTACTATGGCGTTTACTATGGCATAACTGGGTGAGAGTTTGAGATAAATCGGCAACGGTTCTACTGGCACTCTATACAAACTCATTATAAAATTCTATATATATATCCGTGCTTCTACTAATACTGTAACAAACATGACCATTTTCCACATTAATATTTTTGTTGTAATATTTTGTAAAGGAACAAAAAATTAAGAGCAACCAAAAAAAACAGTGTTTAACCAGCACGTGCTGAGTAATGGTAATGTGATTACAAACTGATGCAGGATTACATTTACCTCCCTGTGGCAATGTGATTACAGTAACACGTTACCAACGCTGGACATTTAGCAGAAATCAATCTCGTTTGGGCTTATTTCCAGAGTGACACTGTGTACAGATGTGTCATTAAAACCGTCTTTATCGCTAATGACATTAAAGGCCAATGCCAGACTCCTCAATTTAGCTTAATAATATATTTGATGATATAAGAACCCCGCTGGCGTTGGACATTACAGAGTAATAACAATTATAACGTTTGGCCCTTTATAAATCCACTGCTGGGTAAAGGCCTCACACATGCTCTGTCAGTCAACTGCGTTCGTCTTTGCAGATTGGTGAATTGGGTGGCCCTCAACTCTGCTTTTAGACATTTACTTGCTGCTGGTGCTAGACATGGCTGGGAATTTAACTCGGGTCAGCCGGGTTCGTAGCGCAGCGTGGCCAACCATTCACCAATATAAATAACGTACAGAGAGAGGTTCAGGTTAATGTTCAAATTGTATTAAAATTATTGCAAGAATGTCATTCGTTTTCACATGCATCTATCGTTGGAGAACCTTGTTAATATTGAACTAGACTTCTAAAAATAGTCCCTCTCCAGTCAGGCTGTAGAATCTCTTCATGCAACAGGATGTACCAGAGAGACCCAGGAAGCAATACATTAAACATGAACCAAAACAAATTAGAAATATAAATTATAATTATAAGCCACCTGCTACTTCTGGCCCTTTACTCTCCTGTCCACCTCATCCCCTGCTCAGGTTTGCGCAATGCATTCAACTATCCCAAATGTTCTTGTCCCAGCCAGTCAGATCCCTGTCTGATAATCAAAACACATATGATGCTTAAATCGCGTGTTTATATTTAACACGGATACAGAAAACCTAAATTTATGTAACCAAACGTTATAACAGCGCATTAAACTGGTCGTGTCGTTTTGAACAATCGCATCACTGTACGCTTAGGCTGGCTATGTCTTTGTCCCACGTGTGTGTGCTGGCATTGTCATAAAGACAACGTGGGGAACGGTAGTGCAGTGGTTAGCGCGCTACGCAACGAACATGGTAACCCAAGTTTTGATTCCTCCTTATGGCTAACATCGGTAACAAATATCCAAACCGTTCCTTTGCCTCCCCTAGGTCTCATTAAATAAGTGCCTGATACATAGTTGGCCAGGCATGGTGCCGACCACCCCCCCCACCCCCTTGCGTGCCGTACCGGCCTTCAAAGAAGCTCGCGGTGCCCCGGCGATACCCCGGGGCACCAAATAATACAAAATGGCCGAGGCAATTAAATATTTTGTTTCTGGGACACTATTGTTTCCAGGGGTGTAACTTTACTCCGCGACTGGGGTACCAATCAATCCGAAATCAGTGTTACTCCGCGATGTCGAAACGCAGCGAGGACGATTGCGCTGAAACCCTGAACGCTCGTACGCACCGTAGTGGTGCATCGTGAGTACAGCTCGTCGAGATGAGTCTCTTGCCGCATCGCCGACCATCAACAGACTAAAAATGACTGCATCATGGACATTATGCGAGAGGCGGGGTGCTATGGTACCCCGGGGTCCCCGCCATAAGGTTCACTTGCCGGAAACAGTTTTTAAATAGCTATGTGGCTGATCTTGGTCTTTGTCATTCAGGTCAGAGTTTGTGGCTGGCTGCATAGCCCTGCAGGCCGACACCGCCAAGGCCATCCAGGCGCGCTTCCCCGAGCTGATGGAGGAGGTGCGCGTCGAAGAGCGCTTCAAGGACCTTTACCGCTTCACCTTTCAGTTCGGCCTGGATGCCGACGAGGGGCAACGCTCGCTGCCGCGCGACATGGCGCTGGCGCTGTGGCGCCTCGTGTTCGAGCACCGGCGGCCGCCCGTGCTCGACCGCTGGCTGAGCTTCCTGGAGGAGAACCCGTCCAGCGTGCGCGGCGTGTCGCGAGACACCTGGAACATGTTCCTGAACTTTGCGCAGACGGTGGGGCCCGACCTGAGCCACTACAGCGAAGACGAGGCATGGCCCAGCCTCTTCGACGCGTTTGTGGAGTGGGAGACGGAGCAGCGAGCCAGGATGCAGCACGGCACGCAGTCATGGACAAAGCCGGAGTGGGAGGGGTAGCGCATGCGTGTTTTCCCTGCTCTTTTCTTTGTAACGGAAGTCATGATTGAAATGTGCAGTACTTTGATTTCATTTTTTTTACATGCACAAAAGTATTATTTGAACATTTGATGCAGTATAAATTGAGCATTTACCATTTCTTGTGCGATTTTGCAGAGGAGAGCGTGGTTTCCTTATCGGGGCGAGTCGCGTGCGGTGTAAATGTTTATTGGCGACGTGTGTTTGCCCGAGTCTTATTGATGGTGGCTGATGCACACGCACGTTTTTGATAATGCTGCCTGAAACATTTTTCAAGTGGATTTTTCATCATAGCAACTAATAGTCACATAGCCAAAAGTTCAGGGAAGTGCACAAAAAGGGAATGGCAAAGCTTATACTGTACCCTGCACACTCATATACCAAATGAATTAAGCCATCTGACACGGCGGTTGAAGACTCGAGCTTGCGTAGATTAAAACTAGACCCATGGTTTTTTTTTTAAAGATATACAGCAGAGCTCCAATAACCGTGATCCAATCATCTTAAAATCTCTGTAATTAGCGGATTATTAGCGGTTTGCAACCGCTCCCGTAACCTACGGCACACTGTAGTGGGTTGAGAGTGCTTGGTGGACCGCAAACTACTGCTGTCCGTAGATATCGCCAGGGCCAACGTGGAGCTGTAGAGCGGAGCAGCCAGGAAAGCGCGGCAGTCATTTTTTTTTATTTTGCAAAATATTTGTTGGTTTTGTATCACCACAGACCAGCTGTCCTGACGTGATAAATTTAGTGAAAAATAACTTTTCAATGTTTACACTTGAATATCGAGTCTAAAAGCTGCAAGCAAATTATTTGCAAGTGTACCCCATATGGTGCCTTAGAAAAAATGTGCACCTTAGAAAAAAAGTAGTAACATAATCCGCTAATTGTTTGCCGATCTAATGGAATCGTGTGGCTAATTCCTCCCGTAATGCGCGGCACAGCGCGTTTTCGCACAGCGGTAACATAAGTTTGACCTCCATGATGCACCGCCACTGACAGGATCTATGATAATGTTACCTCCATATCAACGTGGATTACTGTGTTTCTGCTGTGTACCCATTTAACTTTAAAAAGCTATATATTAAAATGTCCCTATAAAGTATAACAGAATTACCATTTTCAGGTGTCACAATTCTTAAAACATGATGTAAGCTCATAAAATCATTCACATTTCTAAATAAGCTTCTAAGTGTTTATTCGTGTAATTTTTTTGTTATGATAGAATTGTTCATGTTTAATCACTTTGACTTTTGAATGACAAAATAGACACTTAATCTACAATGACTGGTAAAATACTTAAACCAAGTCAATTATGACAAAAAAGCTTTAATTATGACAAAAAAGCTTTAAGTATTCACGTGGATAAGTTTGCACCAAAGTGCTGCTGACAGATATTTTACAGAAATTGGCAGAGACGCTTTTTCAACGGACATTGCTTGAGCCATATTTTTTGGTCTGCTCTCGGTAACTGTGAGGCACAAACTCCCGTCAACTTGCGCTCAGTCTGATAGCTGATTGGATTTAAATATGATCGTCCTGGATTGATTGATTGACCAGGTTAGCACTGTAAAACCCACACCGGTAATGTTTTTTTTAAAGATTAGCCAATTGTACATTCAGCTGAAACTAATTGGTATGAATTTCAAGTCCACACAACTGTTGAATGAAAATGTATTGCCTGTTGAATTTTATGTTAATAGTGATTCAACCACATTGTTAAAAGCACACTTTCATTATCAGGTTTTTTAATTATATTTTTTTCATTTGACATTGAGAGACAAATAGAAACTAACTGGATTATTTTTCCATTTGGTCCAGCTTGGCGATTAGGCTGCAGGGCGCCAGGGTTGGAGCCTTCCCCTGCTCGTTACGACAAGATATTGCCTTGGGACGGAAGATCATTTTATAAATAAGAACGGCAGCTGTGATCAAGTTTGGCAGTTTCGGGGGATAATTGTAAAATCCGATAATGCGCTTGTTGAACATGCGCGGTTGACTGCATTGGTGGGACAGCTGTGGCTCATGTCTCGTGGTGCACGTGAGGCAGAGAATGGAGCACGCGTACCCAGAGGCCACACCATTTACTCACCATTGTTTTTGTTATATTTTCAGCACGGAGTCTTTTTCTGGTGTCTTACCACAGGTGTCTCTTGCCAAGGAGAACTCGGGCTGTTATCTGGTTTGTATGTTCGTTGGGAGTTGTCAGCAGATTCAGTTTCCATGGCAGTGGTACAGATGTGTCTGTGTTCAAGTAGTGTGCAACGAGAACATTGGAATCGAACAAGACTCTGTAAAATGGAAGTGTCTGCTTACTATCATAAATATTTTAGGATTGTTAAATTTCCCTTTTCTAATTGTGCTCTCAGTGTCGCCATCATCAGTCGAACACATGCCCTTTCCAGAACCTGCGGTGAGCAGTACCTCGTATCATAGTCTGGGAACGGATTGTGAAAGTTGATGTCACAGAACTACTGTGAAGTAATGAGCCTCGCATGACGAGCGCCCAAATGGTGCTCTGTTTTGGGCCATCAAAAGCGTGGTCCAACATGTTTAGGCCTCAAGCACGAAACGACCGAATGATGTGAAAACCCATTATGCTTTTTTGCGTGCAGTAGTGGGGAGATTGAGCCGCGTTACGCTTGAAAACAGGCATTGGAACCGAGTTGTTTTGGAGGGGCAACTGGCATTGGGCAGGCACAGGGATGGTTGGCATGTTAGATCTCACGACCACATCGGTATCTGTAAGTTGCATAGCTTTTGCTGGAGCTGAACTTGGCTCCACTGGTTGGGAATTATTGGTGCACATTACTTGCATTATAATTGGGCTCCATTACCTGAGCTTAAGGACAGTTAAAACACAGGGGAGTGAAAATTGCATGAAAGTAAGTCAAGTGTTCCTAAAGGGGCATTAACCACATGGCCACTAAATGATGAAGATATTTCAGTTAAACTATCAACTGTGATAACATGTGAACATTATCTCTCTATTCCTAGATCGCCACATAAAATACAATCACTGGTGATCCTTCGTTTTCTGGACATCTTCAGAATTTAGTAGAGAATGGATCTTCTGTATCATAAAGGTTTTCTGTGTCTTAATCCAGAGTTGGACCATCTAGTGTGGTTAACATTGACAGGCAAACACAATCTAGCAAATCTTAGTAGAATCCAACAAGTTGACCACTAAAACGTGCAGTATATTGTTTTTTTTATTTTTTAAGAAAAATAAATCCTAATAGGTTGTACCTGATTATGTCAACATGGGATTTGTTTGGAAAAAACAATATTTTGCACCAATAAGTTTTCGTCACTTACAATATCCTTGTTATGGAGTCGCGTCATGAGGTGAAGAAGAATCCTGTGGGACTCCCCTTTAGCGGAGCGTCGTGTGACAACGGAGACTTGACCCCAGACGATCAACCCACACACCTGGGCGTCCGATTATTGCAGGGCGGCATATGAAACCCCACATTTGACTATTTTCGTTTTATGCGGCCATTGGTGACTAGGTTGAAACTGTCAAATCGCACTGTGCTTTATCCAGTAATCTCGTGAAGTCACATGCGGCTGCCCGTGTTTACAGTCAGAATGTCAGGGTGTGGGGCCGTGGGATGACGACGCAGGCGTCAATCCTCCTCGCCCTTCTCTTTCACCACGCCACCTCCCAATCGCTGAAAATGTCACCATCGTATACAGTATTTCATGCAGATGTGTCAAGCCCCTTTGTTTGGTCAGTCCACTGCTGGATGAGGACATCACAGCCACCGCAAGTCACGGTGGTTATTTTGCCGTACTTCGCCAGGCTGGTCGGTGCGGGTAGGTGAAGACGGGGCCGTGTTAACCGAGCCATGCATTTTTCTGCGCTCCGACGATGACGAAGATGTGGCCCGGCAGTGGCCTTGCAACACCAGGTTTGCTTTTTATGCCCCCAAGCACTCTCCAGGCTCAACCCTTTTGCTTAGCTTCCAAGACCTAACGTGATCGGGTGCATTCCAGGTGATGTAGTCCTAGGCACAGTATTTCATAGTTGTAACACATTGTTTGAGTGTCAGTGTTGGGTTTTGTGAGAAAAGAGACTAAAAATCTTTTGTTTTGAAGTTGTACTGTATACTCAAAATGGCATATTTATAAGCGCAAATGTTATTAGTTGTTTACTTGTAATTTAAGTAATTTAAATCTTATAAAATGGCAATTTTCTGACATTTTCTAGGAATTTTAAATATATTTCTACTTTGATAATAATAAAACCTGTACAATTTGTAAGGATGTCCACTTGGATATCATTGGGAGTTTGGTATGTGGTTGTGCCAGTGTTGGTATAAAAACGTCTCAAATGAAAGCTACATTTTGCTTTCACTGAATTTGGTGGTGAGGGGAGAAAACTCGCATTGATGGAAACCTGGTCAGCTGTGTGCATTGTCGTTATATTTACCATTGTTTCCTGTGCCATGATTTTAAAACCCAGGGAAGGAGATGCAATACAAAGCTGTATTTTTTTTTGTCGATGTCTGTATGCCTTAAACAAATAGCCAAAATGTTTATTAGAAGATAAATAAAAATAAGCTCAGAGTTGAATACATTCAAGGCAAACGTGTGATATTTAAGAAAATAAATTCAATGCATTTGGTCATTTCATTTTATAATGTAATTTTGCTATTGGCTATCATCAACAAGGGTGGCTGGACCAAACGTTCCCCTGTAATAGTCTGCTGAAGCGTTTTTTTTATTTGTACGGTTGATGAAAACTTGAGATTATTTGCAATTCAAAATGTACATTTAATTGGATCTTTATTCAACAACTGTGTATTGGAATTGGTCATTTACTCGGTGACATTAACATTGCACTCTTGGAATAAATATTTTACTTGATGACAGTAAAGTTGTATTTCACTTGGGTTGCAAAGTGATGTCGGGTCCCACGGGAGCCGAACCGCTGCTCATGCGTCTGCTTGCACGTGACCCCGTGCCACCACCACGGGCCCCCCGATATTGCCCCCCAACAGGTGATGGTCATCCGGGCGGCGGTCCCCGTCAGAGCTGCACGTTGCCCTGCGAAGAGACAACTTTCCCTGCATTAGTTGGCAAATAAAAAAAAATGTGTTCGATAGTCGTTAGCCTTAGCCATATGCTTTTCCAATTGGGCCATCTCTTGTAATTGAATACGTCAAATACCAATTCTAAAACTTGTCAGGTTTTTTTTGTTATCTAAACATATCTCACAGCCGGATGAAGTTCTCCTCCCTGCTCTGCTTTGGTCATGGATGGCGGTTGTGTGATCACATTCCCTTTCAATCTCGTGACGCTGCTCATGGTTAAAACAAAATCGTTCTGCCATGATTTTTTTTTTAAATGTGGATTCCCGAGCAAGGCCCAAACTGTCATGCACTCCGCAACAAACAGCATGATCAGAGTTTAACACGTAGGCTTTCAAAGTTGTAATAGATAAAGAGGTAATAGGTTCCTTCAATTGAGCAAAGTTATAAGAGCTTGGGAGGAAAGGAGACGACGGAGGGAATTCAAAAGCGAAGCAGTGCGAGGGAAGAAAAATAAAGAATTGTAACCTGCGGTATTTATGGCGGATGTGATGAAACAGCCTGTCAGACCAGGTCCTGAACGTGGGTACATTGATGAAGACTTTAAGTAACGTGGGAAGCAGGAACCATGGGAGTAGTGATAGAAGAGTGATAAGGAGGGGAACCAACTAAGTAATGAATGCGTGACTGGAATGAATGAGTGAGTGCTGGATTATTGATGACCCTGACTGCATTATGTATATCGACTGCAGTGAGTTAGGAACTGGTTTCTCCATCCCATATATGACAACAGGATTCCATTGTTGGTTGGTATGTGGGTGGGGGCGGGATTGAGAATAGAAAACATGTTAAAATAATCACAATTACATTTTGATTTAAAGCTTTCGTGACTGCAGTAATTCATATTCTTAGCTCTTTCGGTAAAGTCACGTTGAAGGGAAATAATACAATAATAAAATATATAAAACAATAAAAATTCTCACGACGTTTCGACCATAACACAAACGGTCGTCATCAGGTGTGTCGGTTTTCGCATTAATTTATTTATTTCGTGAACACAAAGCAGACCTTAAACACGGTAGGACCAACACCTCGGCCGTGGCAGATCATTGTTTTAATTCAGTAGGCTCACATGACATTGACTTTTCCAAGACAGAGGTTCTTTGTAAGCCATCTGGCTACCATGAGAGATTCGTTCATGAGGCTATCCACATATACAAGCACAGAGACAATTTCAACCAAGAAGATGGATTCTGGCTTAGCAATCATTGGAAAGATTTGATTAACCATTTCAGGTCTTAATTGATTGTTCACGCTTACAGTGGCTTTCAGACAGCATACATTAATTTTTCGTCTCCCCCCTCTTTTCAGAACATAGATGGACTAGTCCTTCTAAATAAACTGTCAAATCGCTGCGCGTGGCGCTGACGTTTTTATAAATAAATAAAAGCACCGTTTAAAAATAAATAAATGCGAACCGACACTCCTGATGACGACCGTTTGTGTTATGGTCGAAACGTCGTGAGAATTGTTATTGTTTTATATATATTTTATTGTTTCCCTTCAACGTGACTTTACCGAAAGAGCTAAGATTATAAAATCATAATTGTCCACTAGGGGGCGCTGTTTGTTTCACCATTTAGGGGGCGCTGTTTGTTTCACCACTAGGGGGCGCTGTTTGTGTCACCACAAGGGGGCGTTGTTTGTGTCACCACTAGGGGGCGCTGTTTGTGTCACCACAAGGGGGCGCTGTTTGTGTCACCACTAGGGGGCGCTGTTTGTGTCACCACTAGGGGGCGCTGTTTGTGTCACCACAAGGGGGCGTTGTTTGTGTCACCACTAGGGGGCGCTGTTTGTGTCACCACTGGGGGGCGCTGTTTGTGTCACCACTGGGGGGCGCTGTTTGTGTCACCACTGGGGGGCGCTGTTTGTGTCACCACTGGGGGGCGCTGTTTGTGTCACCACTAGGGGGCGCTGTTTGTGTCACCACTGGGGGGCGCTGTTTGTGTCACCACTAGGGGGCGCTGTTTGTGTCACCACTGGGGGGCGCTGTTTGCTTCACCCTTGAGGGGGGCGCTGTTTGAGTCACCACTAGGGGGCGCTGTTTGTGTCACCACTGGGGGGCGCTGTTTGTGTCACCATTTAGGGGGGCGCTGTTTGTGTCACCACTGGGGGGCGCTGTTTGTGTCACCATTTAGGGGGGCGCTGTTTGTGTCACCACTAGGGGGCGCTGTTTGTTTCACCACTGGGGGGCGCTGTTTGCTTCACCCTTGAGGGGGGCGCTGTTTGAGTCACCACTGGGGGGCGCTGTTTGTGTCACCCTTGAGGGGGGCGCTGTTTGTGTCACCACTGGGGGCCTTTAAAGCTACTCATTGTGATTTAAAAACGCTTCGTAAATTGCAAACGAATTCCACATAAAACCCCAGCACTATAGAAAATCACTGTGATAACCCACTGCTGATACAAACTCACTGCAAAGACAAAGATACCCCGCATAGACTTGACAGACTGTTGGGGCAAGTGCTGTTAGCGAGCACCTATGAAGGCCGATACGGCACACGAGGAGGTTGGTGGCTAGTACCACGTCTGGCCGCCTTTGTCTCCCGAATGACGATGTTTATACACTGCATCAGGTACTCATTTGAGGTTGAGTCGACCTAGGGGAGGCCCAGAACCGGTTCAGATTAATAGTATCTGGTGTTGACCGTGAGCGGGAATCGAACTCGGCTTGCCGGATTTGTAGTGCAGCGTGCTAACCGCTACACCACGACTCCCGAAAAACACTCACTGCACAAGATCTAACACGGCCACAGTAGACTGGGGAGCCACGTCTCCAACCCAGCCTCGTGGCCCAGGTGCCGAGAGTGGGAATGCTCCGACACGTGGCCTTGTGGTCAATCCCTAACCCGTCTCCCTTTATTCATAACGCTAAACCGTATCCCCAAATCTATATCCTTAAACCCAAACCCTATACCCAAAACAAACTCTATCCCTAACCCGAGGTCTCCTGACAAAAACGCTTGGTCAACCTGCAACTCATTGGGAGGTTGCTCCTCCCTTGCTGCTGCCCCTCTGTCTGGAGTTGCCTTCCCTTGGCTGAAGGTGAGGCTCAACCCTCTCCTCCATATGATGCCCTCTCTCTCTCTAGGTGAGGTTCCGAATCTTCCTCAGTTTGGTGTCCTCCTGCCCCTCTCCCCCAACTAAAACTGAACAAGATGCACGCGTACTTATGTGTGCGTGGCCTCCCCAAGGTCAACTCACGCCAATGGAGAGATAAAGGCGATCAAGGCGTGGTGCTAGCTACCCACTCCCTCATAGGTGCTCGCTAACAGCACATGCCCCAAGAGTCTGTTCAGGCTATGAGCGTGGTCTGTGTCTTTGTGGCAGTTTCTCCGAGTTGCAGTTTCTCTGAGTTGCAGTTTCTCCTAGTGGCACTTTCTCCGAGTGGAAGTCTCTCCGAGTGGAAGTTTCTCCGAGTGGCAGTTTCTCCGAGTGGCAGTTTCTCCGAGTGGCAGTTTCTCCGAGTGGCAGTTTCTCTGAGCTGCGTGGGAAGCCCCCACTGTGTCGCGTCGCCTTCTAGTGGCCTACTCGACATCAACCCCAGAGTTCGAAAATAAGAGTTCAATCGCAGACACAGTCCAACTGCCTTGAGCCATTATGCACCCAGCTCTCCTGACTGTAGAAGCAAACTCCCAGTTCAGATGATTCACCCGAGACTGGTCACTGCACAGAGGTGTCACTCCTGTGGGACTGTAACAGGGACGTCATACACCCTGGGATATGGGAATTGTCAATCACCAGGCCAGGTGCGAGGTCTCTGGGTCCAGGTGTAGGGTCTTTGGTGCAGGGTCCCCGGGCCCAGATGCAGGGTCCCTGGTCCAGGTGTAGGGTCCCCGGGTCCAGGTGGGCCTGGGTGGCCCTTCACTCCATCATTCCCTCTGGAGTGAGGGAACGGTTCCCACAGCCACCAAACTCCAGAGTCGCTTCTCAGCCTCCGCCGACGTTCAGCACGGTCACTCGCCCTCGGGAAGCTGAAACCCGGAATCCAACCAAGTTTGCGGAGACTCCACGGTCTGGGGAATCTATCCTCGGATTCTTAGGTAACCTTCACTATGGCCTGGAATCTTACAGACTCCTAAATGCGTTGATGTCGGCAACATAAACATTGATTTTAAATATATAAAATTATCTTTCCTGTAAAGAGTGAATGAAGAGAAACACATCGACATTGATAATTCATTAAAAACATCGCGTGTTTTTGATATATGGTAGTAATGTTTTTCTTTCGATTCTATTCTGTCATATTCTTGTGTATAATGGCAATACGTTCAGGAGCTAAATGGCAATAAAAAAAAAAACTATTTTTTATATTTTACCAGGTAAGACCCACTGAGCTATATAGCTCTTTTTTCAGAAGCAACCTGGCCACAAATTATAGCTCAACGAAGTGGCTTATCACGTGGCAATGTATAGCAGCTAAATACTCTAAACGCACGTTTCTAAATGTGGAAGGAAAAACCGGAGGACCCTGAGAAAAATCCACGTGACCACGGGAGGGAACATGCAAACTCCAAATATACAGGCGTCAGGGTCGGGATCGAACCCACAACCCCCTGTATACCAGGCGAGAGGGCTTCAGAAGTTAAAGTTCGTGTAGTGTTGATATTTTTCCTCCGTTGAAGCAGCGCAGATTTCATTGATTTACTGCACGGGTCCATGGTCCCATCCATCCCTGCTGGAAATACCAAGGAGCAGAGGAGCAAAGCGTGCCCCCGTGTGGCAGCCGTGGAAATGACAGCCACGGGGGACAGCTATTGGATAATTGAGAGCAGATTGTGAGCTGACGGTGGCTAGACGCAAGCTCATGTTGATGGGGATCGACCACACATCGAAATGTTGATGGGGGATATTTATAATTTGTTGTGGTGAAAGCAAACTGCTGCTGCTCGTAATGGGAACTGCCGGTGAAGCGACACTGCCAGGACTTTATTCGAGCTCTTGTCACCGACGCATTGAGCTGTTTCGATTGCCGAAGGTGATCATGGCCAGAGATCAATTAAGTTGGCCGTCCTCGTGAAGGTGGCCCGGCCTTTGCTTTGTGAACACAGCTGCTGAGGACAACCTCAAAGGCATGGCTGGACTTTTTTTGGGGGGGGGGGGGTACGGCGGGAGGGGGGGGGGCAACCCTGCCCAAACTGGGCACCTTGGTCGCGAAAGGCTACGTGTTAAACTGGGCACCTTTATATTTTTTTGCAGTTTACAATGAAGAAAAAAGCCACCCGTGATTCCTATTGTTAGGGATAAAGCGAACACCTGCCCTCCCCCACCCCACATAGAAGTCAAACTCCGCCTATGTTCAAAGGCCCAACAGGTCAAGCCGCCAGCAACAAGACAAAATCATGACCAAGTTGTAATAGATCAGAGAGTTATCCTTGATTTACGGCTTAAAGAGCTTGGGGACAAAAACAGACACGATGGGAATGGAATTGCACGTGGGAACCGGTCTTGAAACATGACTTTCCATCAATGGTAAATGATCCACCAGCAGAGGTAGCGGCATCGCTTTAAACTTCTTCGGGGCGCGTCGCCAAGCTCAACGTTCACCAAACACAAACTTGCACAAGACTGTGGACACTCAAAACTAGTGAACAAGAGGGGTTCGTCCAAGGCATAGGTAAGCAAAGATCACCGCCACACCAGGTTCACTCGAGCAAAGCAATTTTTTTTTATTAACAAAAAATGTTTGTCTACTTGGAATATAGTCAAATAATAACAATGACATTGGCAGCTATTTTTCATTGTGAAGACTATGTACACTACTACAACAACAACGACTAACATGGTTCACAATATGAAAATGATGTATTACAAATATACAAAGTGCAAAAAAGTAAGGCATAATGAACGGGAGATGGGAGTTCACGATGGGGCAATGTGCCTGGGTGCATGCAAATGTGTGATACGTCCACAATGCTTCCCCCTCCTCTCCACTTCGTCCCCCTTCATCAACTACCTCCGTCTCAAAAGCCACGGGCCTCGAACATTCCTCTCTGAACCGCTCAAAGTCAGGCCGCTCGCAATAGCAAACGGCCAATTACAGTAACGTGAGAGCATTAGGGATCGCGTGGCAATTTCTATGCAAACATGAAAACAACTTATAGTTGTAATGGGTTTCCTGTTCACGGGCGCACACAATTCCACTTAGGACATCGCATGAAGCACCAACGGAGGCGAGTAAGCAATCAGCCGCACGTACATCTGGCAACGCCGCGAATGTTGTTGTAAGACGGCGAGAACGAGCGCACGGACGACACCTCACAATGAATGATTGACACTGGGGAGTTTTCGGGTCACGCCATTGTTATTTTCGAAACCTTACAAGGGGAGGAGGAGGAGGGGGGGGTGTTGCAGGCTATGTCGTGTAATCTTTAAAAAAAATGACAGATGACAAATTAGACCAAAGTAAATACGTACATGTACAAAGTATTTCTAGACTTAAAGCTTTTGTGACTGCAGGAATTCATATTCTTTGGGTCTTTCGGTAAAGTCACGTGGATATAAAAAAATAATAACAATAAAAGAATAGAAATAAAGTGTTATTATTTTTGCTATCTACGTGACTTTAGCGAAAGACCCAAAGAATATTAAGTATTTCTACTTCGTGTGTTTTTATAGAGGGAATTTTTTAGGATTGTGTGGGGTAAAAAAAAAATAACAGAATTATGGGTGACCCCATTTAAGCCCTTTTTGCATAAAACACGGGGCAATGAAAAACAAAATATAATTTGTACCAATAGTATCTGCACCACTTACACAAAACAGTGATGATTCTCATTAACGATATTTTAGCATTGTCAAATTGTCACTTTTATTAAAATCTTTCTTCAGGAATTTGAACAGCTTTGTTAACGTAAGCTTGAAATACAGCACAAGTCTGCCTTTGAAACACGTGTACACACACGCCACCACATATTTACGATCTAGTTTCCTATGAGGCTAAAGCTGCCTGAAGCTGATGACAAATTTAAACAGGCACAGAGGCTGATTACTTGACCATTTTGGCCTCCCGTCACAAATCTGCTGTTTGCACGTAACACACATACATACATATTTGGGTTTACACAGAAAAATAGCTTTCATTTCTTTTTTTTAATATAAACTAGTTTAGACTAAAATTCAAGCTTTTATTTTGAGGTGATGTGCGTACATTTCAATTCCTTTGATAAAAGCAGGCTTTTTTTAAAGGGGCTTCAAACATTACACCGTGAACTAAAAGGGGCATGTTTTGCTGTTGTTGTAAATTTAGGTGCCCCAGGAGGCGTCGAATGCAGCGTCCGCTCGATGTGTGCGCTTCTGCTACACCGCGGTAAAGCAGCGACAATGTCTTCCCTGATAAACCTCGAGGTTCACCGCTGCACAAACACGCCACGGCCATCTCCAGAGGCGTCCAAACGGAAACGTATATAGCGACAATTACGCCGCTCATGTTTGTGCACTAATGAGACCACCCTCTTGGTTACACTGGAATTTTTTCTTGCACATTTCTAACCGTTTTTAGACCGAATGCACCTCCCCCTCCCCGCCTCCCACATCCCCCCAAATATTAATTATTTACAAGAACAAAAAAAGTAAAATTAGTCGCGTTATAGAGTCTGTTTGATTGGCACCAAGGACAATTGCATTACCATGCCGCTGATTACAACTACGCAGATGATATCAAACGCGGTGTATCTATATAAGCAAATGTGTGTGGTGACCACTTAAATTTTCCTGGTCAGCAGCCGCGCAGCTTTCGAACAAAACATGCCGCATTGCGCTAAGTTACACAGAAATTATTGTAACCCGAAAAAGAAAAACCTCCAGGTTGAACCACGAATACACTATAAGCATTTTTTTTACAACATCCCGAACCACTGCTGCGCGTACCCCGTAAACAAAAATAAATCATTGTTAACAATACTGTATACACAAAGTATCGGTGCCAGAAACAGGCAACCTACAGCACACACAAGCAAGACTGATTCAGAAAAGTGCTATGTACTAATTTGGCTAAAGTTCAAATCCCATTTTGGGCACTGTAATCATTTGCCACGAGCGTTTCTTGTTACAACTTGTGTGGAATGGCTTTAAAAAAAACAACTACTTATTTTGTGCCATTGAGCCAGTCGTGCGTAAGATCCGGGTGGAAAGAGGCGACGATGTAAACACTTTTGTTCATTAAAGCAGCGGAACCTCCTTCTCTTCTTTCAACGAATCTTGAGATTCGGCGAGTCCTTTCGGGGATGAGCAGTAGAACTTTGGTTTTATTGGATGCTAAATGGCTGCCTTGTGCGGAGAGAGAAGCGTGCGATCTGCAAGTGTTCCCGTGTTCTGAACCTCCCCCCCCCCCCCCCCGAGTGACGTCGCCTCCTGTGACTTGGCACTAAGCTACAGAGTGATGGTGCCAGTAGACTGACGGCACTAAGCTACAGAGTGATGGTGCCAGTAGACTGACGGCACTAAGCTAAGGAGTGATGGTGCCAGTAGACTGACGGCACTAAGCTAAGGAGTGATGGTGCCAGTAGACTGACGGCACTAAGCTACAGAGTGATGGTGCCAGTAGACTGACGGCACTAAGCTACAGAGTGATGGTGCCAGTAGACTGACGGCACTAAGCTAAGGAGTGATGGTGCCAGTAGACTGACGGCACTAGCTAAGGAGTGATGGTGCCAGTAGACTGACGGCACTAAGCTACAGAGTGATGGTGCCAGTAGACTGACGTCACTAAGCTACGGAGTGATGGTGCCAGTAGACTGACGGCACTAAGCTACAGAGTGATGGTGCCAGTAGACTGACAGCACTAAGCTACAGAGTGATGGTGCCAGTAGACTGACGGCACTAAGCTACAGAGTGATGGTGCCAGTAGACTGACGTCACTAAGCTACAGAGTGATGGTGCCAGTAGACTGACGTCACTAAGCTACAAAGTGATGGTGCCAGTAGACTGACGGCACTAAGCTACAGAGTGATGGTGCCAGTAAACTGACGGCACTAAGCTACAGAGTGATGGTGCCAGTAGACTGACGGCACTAAGCTACAGAGTGATGGTGCCAGTATACTGACGGCACTAAGCTACAGATGGTGCCAGTAGACTGACGCCACTAAGCTACAGAGTGATGGTGCCAGTAGACTGACGGCACTAAGCTACAGAGTGATGGTGCCAGTAGACTGACGGCACTAAGCTACAGATGGTGCCAGTAGACTGACAGTAGACTGACGGCACTAAGCTACAGAGTGATGGTGCCAGTAGACTGACGGCACTAAGCTACAGAGTGATGGTGCCTGTAGACTGACGGCACTAAGCTACAGATGGTGCCAGTAGACTGACGGCACTAAGCTACAGAGTGATGGTGCCAGTAGACTGACGGCACTAAGCTACAGAGTGATGGTGCAAGTAGACTGACGGCACTAAGCTACAGAGTGATGGTGCCAGTAGACTGACGGCACTAAGCTACAGAGTGATAGTGCCAGTAGACTGACGGCACTAAGCTACAGTGATGGTGCCAGTAGACTGACGGCACTAAGCTACAGAGTGATGGTGCCAGTAGACTGACAGCAAAGGAGGACGATTCGTTTACATTTCTGCGTGCGATACAAACATTTACCGAAAATAAAATACACATTTTCAGGGGACTCTTGCTGGCAGCGGTGTAGAATAAGCCGCTGATAAAACCTCACCAACGTTGGTTACACAGTTATCAAATGCTCCACAATCTGAAATGTGAGGCAATGTTTTGGGCGATGCATTTTATTCCGCGCAAAGCGGAGGGAAGGCACGAGACCGACTCGTATTTAATTGAGCTTTTTACAACTTGATGAGCGGCTATACGATTACAAAAAGGACGGCGGGACTATGCTCTTCCAATAGCAGCTTTTACGCAACGACATTTTTGTTAGGGATTTACAAACAGAATGTAACATTGATGTAACAGTGAGGAACATGAGTGGCAATGACACGCAGTGCCCTGTTAGCGGCTGAGTCCGTCTCGCTGTGCCACCAAGCCTCTTCCCCACCCATGGAGAGGAGGCCCCACTGAATTCTCCTTGTGCTCTAGTTCACTGGGGTACGTTGCCAATCCAGACGATCCACAATGTGCATTCGCAAACACCACCGGCACCACCACCGGAGTCCATGAGGCCAGAGCAGACGCTTCACTCGTCGGTAACCTCCCGAGGTGGCATCACGTCAGCGGTTCTCCAATTCCTGCGTGCGGCCAATAGCGGTGAATGATTGCGATTAGCGCTTGGATTGAGCAGGTGAAGGGTAGCGACTCTCGTTAGCCATACATAAACAATGCACGCTACCCGAGGGAGTGCCAGTGTCTGCTCTGGCCCATGGGCTAACTATGAAGAGAGCTCTCCTCAGGGTGAGGGCCTATCCAAGGTGATCTCGCTCGCTTACAAGCGGTCACTGCTTATGATCATGCTGCAAGCTAAACATGACGTGTGGTACACCTTCCAGAATGCACTAAATAACATATTTTTTTTAAAAAAACATATCTTTCATATTTAGTCATTTTCCTGTGAAGCTATTTAAATGTGTTTGCTTAACATCAGCTAAGGGGAAAACTGTTCTGATGCAAAACATAAAATGTGTTGTTTTTGACACAGACGCACGTAACCCGGTGGAAATGCACCGAGGTACGAATCTCTTTGTAAGAGATTTTATTCTGGGAAAGCTGTGGTTTAAAACAAGCTCTAAAATGCCCTCAGCTCACACTCTCAATTGGATAATAAAGGAGAAACCATCGCTTTTAGTTGTTTCACGAGACATTACCACCAGACTGAGGAAACTCTTTGAGAAAAACCCAGGGGTGGAAGCACAGAGGAAGTCAACGGGAAAAAAAAACACCGCCAATTGTGGCCAACTGAACAAAACCCTAGGTAACGTCCATATAAAAACCAACGACATATATAAAAGTACAAAAATTAACATAAAAATGACAAAACTACCACAGCAAACTCAAAACAGCAAAAAAAATGCAAGAAAATCTGGCTGCTGCTGCCTGCATGTCATAAACTAAATACACGTGTACATCATGAGTCGTCGTGACAACACAAGAGGCGATTTCAAATATACAACTCGGATTCTGTTGCCTCATCTCTCCGTCGCCGTGACTAGTTCGGATTCGCTGCCTCGGAGCGCTGCCCCTCGGCGTGTGTTTGTGGAGTTTATTGGGCGGCGTTCATTAAGCGATAATTATGGGGTTTCTGCACCTGAGCCTGGAGGGATTAAAACGGACAGCAGAGTCACACCGCAGGGCTCACTTCACACCGATATGGCAACGGTAAACGACAGATCGCTCCGACCTATCCGCGCGATAGTGGTCACCGCCGCTAAACGCAGAGTCGCCGTCGGACAATACAGGCCAGTGTTGGACAAGGCACAACGACTGAAACTCCGCAAGGGACCCGTCACCACAAGGCTGCCGATTTAACGCAGTAAAATACGCAAAACTAAAAAAAAATAATCTAATATTCAAACTTGATTTGAAGCTTTCGTGACACTGCAGGAATTGCTCTTTGGTTCTTTCGGTAAAGTCACGTAGAGAGAAAATAAAATTATAAAATTTCAGCTAAGTAGGAAATAATTATTTATTTTCTTTCTGCATGACTTCACCGAAAGAACCAAAGAATACTCTAAAAAGAATACTCTTTGGTTCTTCAAGTCACGTATTTAGAAATAAAATAAAACAAACCACGACGTTGCGACGGCAACACAAGCGCTTGTGCTGCGGTCGCAATGTCGTGACTCATTTTATTTTCTACCTACGTGACTTTACCGAGAGAACCAAAGAGTATGGATTCCTGCAGCGTCACGAAAGCTTCAAATCAAGATTAAACAGAAGAGTAATCTAATATTCACCGTCCATTCTTACGCGTCGAAACACAACAAGTCTGTTTGCCTAGCACCGAACTTAAAGTTGGCGCGAATTTCTTACTTGGTAGTGGTCTCTTCGCGCACACACACACATTCTAGAGAACGTTTAGTGGTCATAACTTCTGGGAGCGTCTCTCCCTGCGTCACTGTGCTCAATGGGCGCCGGCGTGGTTGGTGCTTCGAGTGGCTGCTGCTGCAGTGGCGGCGTGCTGTGGAGTGTGCGCGGTTGGAACCCGCTGGGCCGCCCGGGTTAATACTGCGGTATCAACCCGTACAAATACGTGCCGTCTGCTTCACACATTGGCCATTAAAGATCCGGTGAGGCCATTCGATAAGTGGGACATTTTGTGCCGACGTCATGGTCCAAATGTGAAAAATTACCTCAAAATAACTCTACTGTGATGACACACAGCGACATCGTCCCCTACTTTAAAACTACTACTATACAGCGTGAAACCATAGCGCCTTCGTGATCGCCTTGTGCTATAGGAATGGCACAAATACCCAATGTATTAATTGTTATCGGCTACTGAACACCACATCCCCCAGACGTGCGAAAGTGCAATTCACTAGTTAATCTGCCATTTGTCGTGCTCCGCAAATTACAAGGCGGAACTCATAACGTCGCCATGAAGCTGGGTGTGGTTGCGGGGTGGCCTTGTGCTTTATGCCGCAATGATACATACGCTCGCTTCCGAGGCTCGTCTTGTTTGGGGGGGGCGACACAGGAGAGGGCCGATGACTTGCATCAAGGAAAGCAGCACACTCCTTTGCTTTGCTTGAAGCAGTTTCTGGAAACCTTAATTTTGGACCCACCTCCTTGGTGGTGGCAGGGGGGGGGGGGTTCGAGATGTAAGGGAGGGCGTCCGCAGTTGTTCTGTAGACCGCGAGACGCGAGAGTGTTCACGTTGGGTTGCTCGAGCAGCCGGTGTGTGACACCCGCTCCCACACTCCTTCACCTCTGCTCGATCAGGGGATGTTTGTACGGTGATTTTCGGCGGTTGTATTATTATTACCCGTTTGAGCTTTTAACTGTTACGTTCTTTGTGTTACTCGTTAAACACCTGTACCAGCGTTGAAAGCTTCGGACAGAGATTTCAGGTCGTGGGCTCATGGGTCATGACGATGTGCATGGCCAGAACTCAGTTGTGGTTCCAGAGTGCTGGTGGCGCAGCTCCGGAAGACGGGGGACGGAGGGAGACGAAGGGGGACGGAGGGGGGCGAAGGGAAACGGAGGGAGATGGAGGGGGATACAGGGAGAGGGAAGGGGACGATGAGGGCTCGTAATCGGCTGGCCCATTCAACTCATCCCATCGTAATGACTAAACTCATGCTTTTGTGCACAGCTATTTTAAACGGGATAATTAAATTTACGCTCTGTAAACATGCATAATAATCCAATGCAACGATGCCACAGATTGACAACTGATCAATTGTCAGCAATACTTTCTGAGAGATTGAGCTCCCTGTTCTGTTCACATGCTGTTGGTAAATAATGTGTCATACCAGAGAACATGCTTTGAGTCTATTATGGCTTGATGCAAACAAATAAGTGATTAATACTTATTGTAATTTGGTGTGATTACAATACAAACAGTACTGTAACACAGGGTGCCATCACAGGGTTATTCGTGGCTGTTTAAAGCTGGAATCAAACATTCATTTGCCAAGGATGGGGAACAATTTAGTTCGTCAAACGCGAGGGCATGTCGTCACTGAAGGGCACAGAAGGCAGGTGAACTGTACGTTCCCGACGTACCGTGCTTGAGGGACATCGACCCACAAGCGTGGGGAAATGACTTGACACTCTGCAACCCAACAATTCAGTTTTTCATGTGCCATTTTAGAGAAGCCATCGGAGCTATGGAATTTTAAATGTCGATGGAAAACTCATTTCTGCAGAACTGTTTGTGTTTAGTTTGTTCTGCCCCCGCTCTTCCGATTAACACGGCTGGCTACGTACGGTGCAAAAGAAGTTAAACGTACATACATTTAATACACTGTAACCTAATATGCGCATACCTAACCCTCATCATGAGATATTTTCCACCAAACACCAGAGCATACAGACTACCTGTTTTTCCTTCAAAGTGCAAGCTAACCCTAATGTATTACCAACACCTTCAAATACTGTCGTGCCATTAATTGTAAGCTGTGTCCAGAAACCACAACTAATCCAATTTAATTAAATGAATCGTGACTTTGCCAACCTATCTTACATGGGAAAATACAGCTGATAAACAGGAACCATAAAGAAAAGGGATAAATGATGCTCAAATAACGGTCTTGCATTTTATCCAACACAAAAGTACTACGATGTAGGATCTGAGCAGCAGAGATCTTAAGATATTGAAACCAGTAAACTGCACGTGGACCGTGATGGTTATTTGACGTTCCACTGCCTTCTGGGGTTGGGTGGCCCTGAGCCCAGCACAGAATGCAGGATGTTCCAATAGAATCATCACATTCTTTCTAAAGTATGTGGTAAAAGGCTGAAGTTATAACTTGCAGCAAGTTTAACAAGAAAATGTCACTTGTCCTGCAAAGCCTCAGTGGTAGATTTCTAGAGTCACATCGTGTCTGAGGCTTTTCCACTGCACTTTAATGTGAAACAAAAAAAAATCATTGATACTCTATGCCTTGGAGACAAAAAATATACATAACTCAAGCCGCAAATGAGAAGAAATATGTAATTGGGCTTTTTTAACCCATTCTGCGTTGTATAAACACGTTCCTTTATCAGCTACAAGCATTACGAATATACCTACGGGGTAGAAATTACACAAATAAACTGAAAGCAACACGAAAGCAAGCTACTCTGAACAATGTATAATTTGGGGGATACACTGACCGTCCTAGGAACTAATTTCACCCCTGAACGTTGGGAGAAACAGCAATCGTGATGTGACTGCTGCCAGCACCGCCATTCGTACTCCTCTCTTCACGCGACTGATTGGATGCAACGCGTTTTCCGCTTCACCCTAGGGGCATTGTTTGGACCAATCGTGATACAGCAGCGGCATGTGAAAGTGCAATTATGGCAGTGTCTGTTGGAACGGAGCGTAGTTCTGCATGTTTTTTCCACCCCCCCCCCCCCCTCCAACATTACTATAGCATTTGGCTACGACAAAAAAGGTACACTGCACGTTGGACCCTGAAGAACACGATGATGATGATGTAAGCGACTGGCTCTCAAGTGTACGATGATGATGTTGCAAAGCCTACGGACCAATAAACACTGACTTGAAACAGCAGCAGCCCGATTGTACAAACATCTCTCTAAATACAGGACCAAGGCATTGACATATCTATCGAGATGTAACTTAAAGAAAAAGTGTTTTCCAAATACCCAGGTTAATATATGTTATTTAAAAAAATGTCCTGCAGATGGGGGGGGGGGGTATCCACTAAACAGTGTGCCAAGCTAACCAGCTGCACGATATTATCACTACCAGCAACTACATGAAACCAAGATGGCATATTTAATGTGATACAAATATTTAAAAAAAGTTTTTTTTTTCTTTTAATTCTGTACATTTACTGAGTGTTCTAAAGTATATCTCTAACAAATTAATTAAACAAAAAACAAAACATACAGCACTTTCCTACACCTATTACTCTGTTGTCAACATCCTACAAATCCAGTTACAAGGTTTAAAAAATAAAAATCACTCATGAGCTCGTGACGGCAATGGGATGAAAGGCGAAGGAACTGCCATGTGATTCACACGGTGTGATGATTTCGCAGCACACTGTGACAGTGTACTCGTTAAAGTAGAAGTCTGAAATAAGCCATCCAGTCTCTCCGTGAAGCGTTCATCAATACAAAACTGCTCTATTCATCAATAAGGAAACCAACACTTGTACAGACAGATCACGCATATTATTACATATCCAGCTCCACCAATGGGTGTGGTCCTTTATGAAGCGAGCACCAGTCAATATTGATATCCAGAAAATAATGCTTAGCAGGAGGTGACCCTCATGGTTCAGAGGTCAGAGCACTGAGTTTGCACCACAGGTGTTGAATCCAGTTTTCAACCTCATATGATTAAAGCAGGCTCTCAAGCTGTAGTGAGAGTTGATGGTCTCAGCCGGGGTCGCCAAAGCCTGCACAACAATCCCATGACATTCAATTTGGTTTTGCAAGTACAGCTGTACTAACGATTACAGCATGGTAGTATCTCATGAATGCCTAACATTACCACAGCGTATATTTTTTTTTGAAATATATCAAAAGCGGATCATAATTTGAATACAACTCCTTGCTTCAGCTTGATTTATTCCAACATCTGCAGCGTTTAAACGAAACATAGTTTCTGCACTTTTGGATTTTCGGTGGCTTTACGTTGACTGCAACGAGGCGCTACCGGGTGACGATGAAGTGAAAGATCTCACGGCATCGCAATTCCACCGAGCCTGTTCACAAGGATGTCGAGTTCACACACGCAGCAGCTTTTTGTCTAATGGGGTGAGATGGGTTCTGGGAAACTACATTCAGCGTTGCCTTCACAAGTGGGAGCTGGAGGCGGAGAGAGCTGCTCACCGCAGCCCCCACCAGCTCATAAAGCAAGGAGACTTGTGTTAAAAATGACACAATCCTGAACAGTCCAAACACTGAGCAAAACAACGTGTTTACAGCCAAATTGTTCGGTACCTATGGCATTCTTTAATGAACAGTACTAAACTAAATTGCGCGGTAAGCAACTTAAAAGAAACAATAATTAATGCCCCCCTCCACCCCCACCCCCTGCCATGCCCAGTTCTACACTTTTACATTTCCCACCACCACCATCATCACTGATTGAACTTTGTCCTTTACCCTGTCCATAGACATTGATGAATTAAATCGGTAAATATTTTAATAAGTATATCTTAACATTCAATACATAATGTAAAAAAAATGCAGTTGTTGAAATCGAGTATATTTGGTTAATATTTACATAACAATAGAAATTGGAAGTGTGCGTGATGCAAATTTTAATTACCCCGAGGGAGCGATGTGTGGTCTATCGCAGCTGGCCGGCTGGAGAGCGAGAGGCATGCATCAGGAATAGTGGTCATAGATACCATGACCGCTTTCCATCATCGCAGTGAACACATGCAGCAGCAGTAGCAGGCACAGGACTGATGTCTGTGGAGTTGCAGACAACACCAATGATTTCTCAGCACTTACGAATGAATGAGTTGATTGCGGTTGGCTTTAGAGCTATGTGTGCAGTTTTCGACCGAAGTTCAAGAGCCCTACCATCAAAAATGCTTAAATTTGGGTGTGGGGTGTGGGCGACCTTCAGAATATTAAGTCGGATGGCGTATTCAGGCTTAGGTCTGCGCTATCCAAGAAGTCTGTAGAAAAGAGGCTGGGCGAATTGACTCCTAGCGGGGTAAGACCTGAGTTGGAGTCCGGCATGGTCAGCTCGGCCCACTCCATGTCCAGCCCTTCCTCGCCCAGCGACAGCACGGCGTGGCCCGTGTCCATGGGTGACAGCGGACTGTCCAGCGACTCTAGGATGCCCGTGGGTGGCCCCAGGCCCCCCGTGGTGGCGTCTGCAGACGGGAAGTCCTCCAGCATGGGAAAGGGGTCGAGTTCCCCGTCCGAGTCCATCTTGAAGAGGCTGGAGGATGGGTCGGGCTGTGACAGGAGGTCCTCCAGTTGCTTGTCGCTCTCTCGGTCTCGGTCTCTGTCTCTGCTGGCACTGGTGGTACCGTGCGTATGGTGAGTGTTGTGCTCGGACGGTGACTGGGAGCAATTTGCGATACTCATGGCCGAAATCGATGCCCCAGAGGAGCCTAACTTTGGAGTGGGAGGAGGATCTTCCTTGGCATGAGCTGGCATCTCTGCAGAAAAAAAACAAGTTTAGCATTCACCAACAAAAACGTGTACCGTCACACAAGTTGGCTAACAATCAAAACAAAACCATTCAAAGTAATACAATGTATTTGATGAACCGTTCTGTAGGGATCACTGCATATCTCTTCAGATGAGTGTACCACAACCATAATGATGTTGAACACAATTCACCAACTCCGCTTACACAGAGCACTGGTTTACAGGACACGACAACGCCTGGCAGAACTGAGTACAAATGTCAGAGTTATCGTCAAGTTATATATATAGAACAGTAACGGTCAGATCAACGTATGTTTAACCCTGAAAATTGGGTAAAAGTTGCAGTTAAGAAGAATGGCATGAAACAGCAAACAATAACAACAAAGTTATTCCGTAAAACCTTAAAATTCACACTGGAAGCATTTGCTGGTAAATACAATGACAGCTCACTATCACACTGCCTTGTCATGAACACAAAAAAGTGGGCTTACATTTCAAGTAATACCCATTACTGTTTGGGCAATGATCCTCATGAAGAGTAGAGGTTAAGTGTCATTGGGCTGCCGTGTAACTAATATTGTCAATGAAAAATCCATTCAAACACTTCAGCCCAATTGTGTTTTATCATCCACCACGGGTGATCCGAGTGGATAATGCACCGCGCTTTAGTGGTAATCATACATTGCAACTGGTATTCACGCAAGGCTCTAGCAAAGGAGGGCACTGTTTCGCAGGCACAGTCTGAAGTAGTTTCACAGTGGGGGTGGGGGGGTCATGTTGCTGTAGGCACCACGGTGGCAAAATGTTAACTCCAACGCCAGGTATGCAGGAGGTCGTGGGTTCAATCTTGACCCTGACGTCTGTATATTTAGAGTTTGCATGTCTCTCTCTCTTTGAGATTATTTGGCTGCTATACATTTCCATATGATAAGCCGCTTTATTGAGCTATCATTTGTGGGCAAGTTGTTTCTGAAAAAGAGCTATGTAGTTCAGTGGGTCTTACCTGCGTGTAATCCCAGTTGAGCGCTTTGCTAGAAATATTTCATATTTGCCAAATTTGGACTATGACGCTGGCACACAATGGCCTACAATTTTCAAACGACTTATGAGCAAGGTACTCACCTCCATTCTCAATGAGAAGGTCCAAAACTTCATCCATCTGCTGACTCCGAGAGCTCTGCAAAGAAATATGAATGAATATTTAGGCGATCTAACCGAAAAAAACCCCTCTATTATGGATAATATTGGTCACGAAAGCCGACGTGTTAAACCGAATATGGATATACACTCAGAACTACGAATGCCAGCCCCGAATGTGCAATATTACTGCTATATGACAGAATGGGCCTCAGAGCTGTTGGTGGACAAAGCAAAAAGACATCACATCTACAAAGACATATTCTTAGTTCTTTCGGTAAAGTCACGTAGAAGGGAAATAATAAAATAAACATTCTCACGACGTTTATATTGCAACACAAGCAAACATCATCAGGTGTGAAAACCACAGCAATAATTTTTTTTCAAAATTCTATTATTTCCCTTCTACGTGACTTTACCGAAAGAACCAAGAATATGAATCCCTGCAGTCACGAAAGCTTTAAATCAAAATCTACAAAGACAATGATTTAACGTCCTGTTTACAGATCCTGCCATCACAAAATAAATTGTCATCACATCAAAAATAACTGAACGCGTGACTTCAGAGCCACCTAACATAGTCCATGTGCAGGTGAAGGTTTTGTGTCAATGGCTAATTGAGGACGAATTAAAACCCAAACGAAAGAGGAATGGAAAACGTGTAGGCAATCCCTCAGGTACGAAGATGACACGTCTTCCCGCAGATGGTGGAGATCATCGTGCATCTGCAGACGGCTGAATTGACAGATCTGAGATCCACATTCACGATTGTGACACAGCCAAGTGGTTGGGGGGGGGGGGAAGGATTGGGTCACTATCGCACTTTATGTCCATAAGATGCATTTCTGTAAATGTTTACTCTTACAGCGGCCCTATGCCAATCCACTGCTGCATGAAACTCTTTCCATGCCATGAGGGCTGATTGAACATACTTCACCACACTGGTCGGTACAGGTTGTTGAAGGGGTTGGGGGTAGGACCAGGATCATGGTCAGGAATTTGACTCGAATATCTGGGCTCTCAACATAGTGCGCGAACCACTGCACTACACTGCTCAACCCAGATTTATACACATTCACAGTCATGTTAATATCTCTGTCCGGATACACAAACGTTGAGATTACACGAACGTTTCTCCATTCAGTAAAGAGAACATGATAGATATGTAACTTATTGGATGCCAGTGAGGTGCATTACTAACATGCTGCTGGTGATGCTGGTTCTTGGCCTGAAGAACCGCGTCCGCGTACGACGGAGGCTGCCGGTGTTTAGAAGCCGTAGTCTGCGCCATCGGAGAGAATATGTGGTCGTGGTGCATGTGGAAGCCGGCTTGGTGCAGCGAATCCGGGACCGAGATTGACTGCAAAGAGAGACAGCGGTTTACTACCGTGGCGGAATACATCCAGGACAGTCGCCCTCCACAGCAAAATGTTTCTAGAGAGTGTGTGGCGACTGTGTTTACACACGAGAACAGCCACTGGCCCTTCACGGAGCCTGACGCACAGATCCCCATAGTTAACTGGAAAAATCTCACATTCATCAATAACACTGCATTAAAAAATATATGATAGGTGACGATGGGCCATAGCCCGAAACGTCGCCCATTACATTACCTTTCATTTTAGGGCAGCGTTATTGACTGAGAGGAACGTGCCAGGCTTTGTGTTGTTTGTGCTTGTGCACCACTGGCATGTCAAGTGCCTGTCCTGTGAAGAGGCTGGCCCCCACCGTGAGAAAACGACGACAGGGCTGGGCCCCCTGGGGAGCATGATGCACGTACCGCATTTAACAAAGTATAATATTTCCACCGAGGGGAGTGGTGGCGAAGTAATTAGCATGCTGCGTTATAAAACCAGTGACCTGAGTTTGATTCCTGGCCACGGCTACCACCAGTGGTGAGGGATATCTGAACCAGTTCTGGGCCCCCTATTCGCTAACCTGCAATAAAGTATGGTCAAACAACCCCCATGAACGAGAAGGCAAGGAGGAGGCCTTAATCAAGTGGTGGAATGACAGTGAGCTGTAAATAATTAAAATTATTACATTTCCACCACTGGCTCAGGACCATTGGCGATGAGATAAGTGTAGCACAGCGGTCCAACAAATAGGAATGCACAATTACTTTTATCAACGTAATCTATATTGACAGAGAACACAAATGCCAGTGTAGTTTTTATATTCCGTACAGAGGAAGAACAATACAGGGTGGTTGAGGGAGGTGGTGAGGGCTGAGATCTCAGAAACAAAAATGGTCAAGAGAATGTGTGCAAAAAGACGGAGGATAATGATGCAGAGGGGTAATGTGATGGCAGGAAAAAAGAGAGAGCACAGCGAACAGCAGGAGATGTGACTCGGGCAAAGAGGTGGGCAGAGGATCTTGACAGAGAGAGAAAACTGTTTAGAGTTCATCCAGAATTGGACAGGAAGCCAATGGAGGGATAGTAACAAAAGGCAGATGTGGTGGAGCCAGCGTTGTGGGAAGACGCGTGTGCAAATACACACAACGGTGTCTGGCAGCAGCATTCTGGATCGTCTAGGTTGCAGCGATGAGAGATATTTTGGGCAAAATTGACACTGGAATTTAAGGGCAGCATCGAGGCAATGGAATCTTTACAAATGGCAGACTTATTGGCCTAAAGTAGAAAATACGTTATTGATTTGAAGAAATGTAACCAATCCACAAAGGGGATGGAATGTTAATGTAGAGGACACAAAGCAGATGGTGAGGATGGGGCATTGGAAAAAAACAAGTGCGTATATCATCAATGCAACATTTACATTCAAATGTTTGTCATTATGTAAAACTAAGGTTTCACTGACGAGAAGAAAAAATACAGGGATTTGATGTGTACACACGAGGATAGCAAAATCTAAGACATTAGCTGTAATCTTTTAAAGTTTTCATCAAGCTGATGATTCATTTTAACAAATGGCAAAGTATATTTTTCCAAGTGTAATTAATACATGGATGCTATTATCTCATCAGAATATTCACGTAAGGAAAGATAACCTATTTTGTGTTTTTTTTAAACAGTGCTTTATTAATTAAGGACAACCTGAGCCTCGATATGATTTAAATAGGTTCCTTCTTTACGATATTTCGCCATTTCTTTAAGTAAAGGTTTTTCACGTGGGAGGGAAACATGAATTCTCAGCAGAAATAAGAGGCCAACACAACAGATAACAAACAAAATCTGCACAAGTGTGTAACCTGATGTCATCCACCAAATTGGCCTGGCTTTCAGGAATAATGAATGGTCTAACCTGCATTTGATCCCAGAAACGGTTAAGCCTGGGCACCAAATTGAGAGTCTACCAGTGCTGTGTTTTGTTAGTTTTGCTGTATGGTGCGGAGGCCTGGACATCGCTTTAAGCTGATTTGGATCGGCTACAGTCCTTCCACACGCGATGCCAAAGAGGCCTTCTTGGCATCTGATGGTTCAACTTCGTCAGAAATGTCACGATTGTATCTGTGACCTGTCTTCTAGTGATTGAGAGCTTAGTTCGAGCGAGACGCCTGTAATTTTTTTGGACACATCGCCCGTCTTGATGCGCAAACTCCAGTAAATTGCACACTTCAGTTGGCAGTTGACATTCGAAGTGGGCTGCGACTCTCAAAGGAATGGTGCCGCACCCGTGGTTGTCCCCCGTGGTTGCCCCCGTAATATGTGGATCAAAAATTGGTATGGCAGCAAGAGCAATTTTTGCCAATGCTGTCGCAAGACGTCACACGTTTCGCGCAACGATCCTTCGCTGACTACGTGATAAATGAATGCGTGACGTGTCACCAACCCAACTGCTGTACTGCCATCTCTGAAACCACATTAGAGCCCAGTGGGCTGGGGAGTCCCACAGCAACATAACCCCAGGGCCCACCTCTCAAGCATTCACTAAAGGGGTGCAACCACCACTGTTGGATGTTTCGGCACGGTGATCAAAATGACATGCAGCTCTGATTACACAGGAGCTGTGGAAGTGAAGCAGGCTAGTGCAGGGGTAATGCTAGTGCCCCACAGCATGCAGTGTCCGGGTTCGATTGTCGACATGGGTGGTTTTCTGTGTGGACTTTGTATGTTCTTCCCCCTGTTCTGCATGCGTTCTCTGGTTTCCTCCCCATGGTAAAAAAGAAAACATACAATGTAACTGATATTGGCAAAATATCCCAATGCTGAAAATGTACCTGCAAATTCATCAATTAGGATTACAAATAGCAACATTGTCCCCAACTATTGACCCTCCTAAATAACAGTCTTGAGACTCACAGAGGCATTCTTGGGAAACCCAAAGTGCGATAATAACAAGATAATAATAATACTGAAAGTGGGACGCGAGGAGCCTACCTTGGCCGACATTGTCCCATTGGCCAGGCAGCCCGGCCGTTTTCCATCCACAGTAAAGAACGGCTGCAGGGAAGGTGGCGCAGTTGGGCACGAGAAGAGTGAGCCCGCCATGGAGGTTGGTGTGAACATGGGCAGAGTGTGCTTTAGGACCTGGGCAGCGGAAAGCAGTGGAAAGAGTACGGCAGAGGGAGAAGCCAGGAGAAACAGAGGGAGAGTTAAGAGTGAAGGGCAGGAGCATTTGCAGGGTGAAAGTGTTTTACAAAATTTGGAACATGAAGATTGAATAGAGAGGTATGAGGTGACAACGAGTGAGGAATGTGTAGGAGAGGGGACAAGGGAGGATGACGAAGGAATAAGTGAGGTTAAGGAGAAGGGACGGAGGAGTAGGTTAAGTAGAAGGGACGGAGGAGTAGAATGAGACCAAGAAGGAGACGAAGATGTGAAGGAATGGATTTGAAGGTCAGATAAAAAATGGAGAATTTTGAATGACAAATGTGCATAGGGTGCACAAGAAAGACGAACACATTGGTTAACAGCAAGGTCACAAACGTGATGATGAAACATAGTGACGAATTTGTGTTAAAATTTTAGGGAAATTACGATAATCATTTTACCACGATTGGCAACATGACTGCCATCGGTTGTGACAAATTCAAATCGGATGACCACAGAAGATCACATTTACATTCTCACTGCGTTTTCTTTCACTCTTTCACAATAAGAGTTTAAATGCCATACGACATTCGTAGGCCAACTGTCAACAGTCAGCAAATGCATGCTGTATGTACAATGCATTCTGGAAGATAACAATAAGGGACTGGAACGACTTTTTCTCTTCATTTTTTTTTATGCAGCAGGGTTGGCTGCTCATTACCATATTATCACATCATCTAAAGCCAACGTATAATAACGAGTATCTCCAGAAGATAAGAAAAGTTTTATCTTTCATGAGTGGCTGCTCGCTCATGTTCAGCTCAAACATCAAATTAAGTAAAAAAAATTGTTTCACATTTACGATTCAGTCCGTTCAGGCATTTAGTGCAAGCTGGCAACGTGAGTTGTCACGGCAGAGAGACAAAGGCCCCTGCCATGAGCACTGCTGCAGCTGATCATGGAGATGGCTGATGCCATGATGCCCATTTGAGCTTGAAGATGCTCCGACTTGGCACAACAACATGAGATGCACTGCAAGCAGATTGTACTCGTTTCTCCCGCACCCGCAACCCCATCCTGTCGTAGACACTGTCATTGAGATACAAAGTCCAACACAAGCCCTTTGCTCTTCCCATGAGTTTGGGAGCGGGATTGGCTTTGCGCAACAAAGCTACTCAGACCAACCCCAACATCTCCTTAACCACCCCCACCTGTTCTTCCATCACCATAGCTATACCACCCACTTTTAATAACCCCACTCATTACCTCAACCACCATCATCTCATGTACAAGTTTTTAATTGTCGTAAAACGCCTTGTAATAAAGTGCTATATAAATCTATATCGCCTGATATACAGGAGGTCGTGGGTTCAATCTCGACCGTGACGCCTGTATATTTGGAGTTTGCATGTTCTCCCCATGGTCGCGTGGATTTTTCTCCGGGTCCTCCGGTTTTTCCCACCATATTGAGAAACAGGCATTTAGAGTATTTAATTGCTATACACTTCCACATTATAAGCCACTTCGTTGAGCTATCATTTGTGGCCAGGTTGCTTCAGAAAAATAGCTATATAGCTCAGTGGGCCTTACCTGGTTAAATATATAAACAGTTTATGGTTTTAGTTAAGTTCATATAAGAACAAATCAACTTTGCTGCTGTGACAGGTTGCGTCATCCATGTCGCTTAATGCGAGGTAGAAGGAACAATACTTTTGTGAAATCAAATTAAGCAGCATTCTTGTAAAGTATTTTAAAACAACTCGTCCACAAAAGGGCCATGTCCATTAAAGGACACTTAACACACAGCCCGCATAATTGTTTGTTTAAAGCGATCAGACTTATGATTTAACCCAGGACACCTTTACGAGTAAGACCATGCATCTTGACAGGGTTTATTTCAATCCCCTGGCGAAAATAAACGTCTATGGTGGGCCTTAACGAGCTGCTGCTGCTGCTGCTGCTGCTCGTTACCTTGGACTGGTGCTGGCGACTGGAGGAGGAGTGGAAGAGAAGTCCGTCCTGTGGGCTGGCTGCCTTGTGAGCCATGCCCTGTGTGCCAGCTGCTCCAGGATGGCCCTGGGCTTGTCCTGCCATGTGGCCGTGTGTGAAGCCATCGGCCATCTGCTTAAGGCTCTGCGACAGGACGAGAGAAATCATTGAACTTGGGCAATTCAGACACTCCAGCAATGTTTAAATCATTCGTCAGCCTTACTTCGGCATTCAGTAACGTTATTGATACGTTTGTAGCGGTTAAACAGAAGGCCCTTTTGAATTGGTAAGTACATCTGTCTGTTAGTTAAATTTTTCTAAATAATGTCTGCCCTATTTCACCACCTGCTGACAGGCTGATGAGTGTAATGTTGTTGGTAAAGTGGCTTAAGATCATAAAAAAAACCTCTTGAGTGCACATGATCTACACTCGTGTGTAGTTTACACTCGTGTGTAACCTACACTCGTGTGTGTGTAACCTAGACTAAATCTCATCACCGCCCTCCGTCCGTTGCCCCACATGGCATAACACAGCACTTGCTCGAGTTACTGCAAGGATTTTCATAAAACTCTTAAGTTTAATAAAGGCATTCATTGAAATGATTAAAATCTCGGTGCTATTTTACAGTCTCCCGTTTAACAGGCTGTACATTATTCGGTTTGATGTCCATTTAAACTCATTATTCTGTAGGCCATACAAGATAGGATCAGAGGTCCAATTCATATCTTTGCAAATTAAAAGTATCCTAAACAAGCAGCACAGCACATATATCTATAAATAAATAAGGAGAGCCTGACCCAAAATGCTCTACATTATGGAAAATATCATGACAATTTTAGGACAGCTTGGGTAAACCTGATTTAAACATTTTTAAACCGTTTTTAATTTTACCAGGTAAGGCCCACTGAGCTATATAGCTTTTTTCAGAAGCGACCTGGCCACAAATGATACCTCAACTTAGTGGCTTATCACGTGGAACTTTATTTCACCAAAATACTCAAAACACATGTTTCTAAATGTGGAGGGAAAAATCAGAGGACCCGGATAAAAATCCACGCGACCACGGGGAGAAAATGCAAACTCCAAATATACAGTAGGCGTCAATGGTTGGGATGGAACCCACGACCTCCTGTATACCATACGAGGTATTTAACACCTCGCCACCGTGGCACCAATACAAATGTTTGATTGTGTGGATCCCACACCATCAAACGTTCCTTTGCCCCCCCTCCAAAATTCACTCTCCTAGGCCAGGGGTCGGCAACCAAAATAACAAGGGTCATTTTTTCTGAATGCGGTAAAAAAATCAATATTTCAAGAGCCACAGTGCACGTGCAAACGAGACTCATGCGGCTCCGGAACCACAGGTTGCCAAACCCTTGCCAACCCCTTTTCCGAGGCAGTGCATCATGATTCGCAGTGAGTGGCATGCCACTGTTATGGTGCCCCCCCTCCCGCCCCCACACAACACCTCTACTGCCCCCCCCCCCCCCCACATCCGAGAGCAGCCGCGGCTGGGCCCGCTCTGAGTGCTGAAGTACCACCACCCTACCAACCTGCACATGAACTTCACCAGCAGTCAACATGCAAGGCTTGGACGGGGAGGCCGAGAGCTCCCTCTGCTGCGTGTGGGACGGGGAGGAGTCGCCGCTCGCCTGGGCGGCGCCGGCCATTCCGAGGGACAGCCCCGCCGGGCCGTGCTGGGGGCTGCCGTGCACCTGGCTGCGCTGCATGTGGCCGCTCTGAATCTGGTTGTGCTGCAGCATCTCCAGAGCTTTGTACGGAGGGGCCGTGTGGCTCAGCAGCATATTTTTGGGTGAAGAAGAGAGGGCGGAGTCACTGTGACTGTGAGTCAACTGCTGCCCATTGCTGCACGATCCAAACTGTGCGCAGCTCATAAATGGTGTCTCTTGCTTTATCGCAAAAATCTGCTGCTGCTGCTTCTGATGCTGCTGCTGATGCTGCTGCTGTTGTTGTTGTTGTTGCTGCTGCTGCTGCCCCTTTCCGGGACTGGACTGTTGAAGCTGCAGGTGAATCATCGGGGGAGCAGCGATGTGCGATAGCTGTTGTTTTGCCGTGGCACATCCATGACCCTGGAGCCCAGCTGTATCAAGATGCTTTGTGGAGGAGTTAGTGCTGTGACCACCATCACAAAAATTATGTGAGGCTGAGCCAGGTGCTGCGGAGCTGGGCTGAGTAGTATGTTTCTCGCGCTCGATCTGCATGCGGATCTCCTCTAGCTGCCGCTGCTCCTGCTCTATCATCCGCGTCAGCTCTTCGATCTTGCGCTGCTTTTCCAGCAGCATCTTGTCCTTTTCATCCACGTCCACCTTGACGGCAGAAGCTAAGACGGATCCATTGCTGGAGGCGATGGCCTGCCCCCCTCCTCCTTCCTTTTCCCCACCGCCAAAACCACTGGCAGTCATCGCGCCGCCATCTTCGTCCATTTCAGTCTTGGCGATCAGAGGCGGAGAGCACAGATGCAGCGACGAGGCCATGCTGTTTGCCGCCTGCGGAGACATTGGGTAGTCGGAGAAAGGGTCTGCAAAGCTGCCGAAGTCTGTGCTCATCAGGCTCTGCTCGGAGACGGCCGGAGAGATGGGTGGCGTGCTTCCGCTGCCGCCGCAGTAATTCCCCCCCGCGCCCATTATCTCTGGCGAGAAGCCGGCACTGCCGCCACTGCTGCTGCCACTGAGGCCACTGCGGCTGCTGTTGGTCGCAGGGGAGGTGGCGACGGTGGCGCTGCTGAGGAAGCACTGCGAGAGGCCGTCCCCTGCCATGCTGGAGAGCGTCACGACTGCGGGGATGCCGGACGAGCCTGACGTGGACGGAGCGATGTAGTTCGGGTCCTGGAAGGGTCTCAAGCGCTCCACCAGCGTAGGCTTGGTGCCAGAAACGGGCAGCCCTCGGGATTTCAGCTCCTGCCGTAGCTCCGACACCTAATGTGGAGGGGAGTTTGCATGAATTTTACCAAGAAGCTGTTCCCAACTGTACGCTGGTTACTGTTTGTGCGCTTCAGTGAAGTTCAGGTATATATACATGCAGGGAATTAAGGGAGCGCAGTTGGGCAACTGCATTTGTAATCTCGAACCAAATTGCAACACAGCTGGAAAATTACCTATTAGCAAATAGAATGCATCCAATAAAACTTGTATTTATCAGTGGTTGAAATGTCTTTTACCCAATTATACAAATATACTATCCTTTCCCCCCCCCAGAATCATTCGTAATTATTTTGGTGGATGACATGTGGTATGGCTCTAGCAACAATGGGTATAAAAAACATCAGCTTTGCTCAACAGAGTATGGCACTTTTCACACTCGTGTTAATATATCTACTCAATGGCATGAGGAGTTGGGAGTCAAAATAAAAAGCTCAGTGCGATATCTGTTGTGAAATGCGATATGGCTCGAGGGCCATTCTGGGTTCTCATTTGGATGGAGACTGTAAAAGCACCATGCTCCGGATGAAAGCAGCAAATCACCTTGAGCTCTTCCAGGTTGGATGGCAGAAGGCCGGGTTTTGCCGGCTGTGATGGTGCCGGGCTGGGCGTGTGCGTGTGTCGAGGAGGAGCCGACGAGAGGGACGGCATCGATGACAGCGAGGAAATGGAGCCGCTCATGCTGGTGCCCAGCCCTCTCTGCTCTAGCGTGCAACCGTTCATCATCGCGTCACACCTGCAGGCGTCACGGTGGCGAGATGTTAACTACCTCGCCTGGTATACAGGAGGTTGCGAGTTGGATCCTGACCCTGACGCCTGAATATTTGGAATTTGCATATTCTCCCTGTGATGGCGTGGATTTTTTTTTATCTGGTTCCTCCGGTTTTTCCCTCCACATTTAGAAACATGCGTTTAGAGTGTTTGGCTGCTATAATTTCCCACTTGATAAGCCACTTCACTGGGCTATCATTTGTGGCCAGGTCGCTTCTGAAGAAGAGCTTTACAGCTCAGCAGGCCTTGCCTGCTAAAGTAAAATAACATTGGCAGCGAGGGAGGTGGACGTGGCAGGAATGAGATTTTGATTGGCTAAGAGATGCGTCAACTGTTGGGGGGGGGGGATGTTGGGAGAAGCTGTAGCACAGTGGTTCATGCACTGTGCTGTGAACAAATAGATCCTGAGTTTGATTACCAGCCACGGTTGGAATCAGTGATATCTAAACTAGTTCTGGGCTGTCCACCACCCCACCCTGACCCTCTGCTCCCCCACCTTCCACCACTACTCCCTTCACCAACCTGCACTGGCCAGAGTGGGGAAGTTTTGTTAAACAATCCCCATGACCAATATGGTATGCGGAGGCCTTCATCCAGCAGTAGATTGACAAAGGGATGGAAATAATAATAATACGTATAAGATAACGATCATGCAAGAATTTCAGTAGAGGAATGCCAAATCTAACTAAACTGTTTGTGCATAAAAATAATTATGTTTCAGTTTTGGCTTACAAACTATAATGCTTATTTCCAGTAAATGGTTATGGTTTTTGTTTCAATTCCACGGTAAATAATATATGAATGATGTTACTGTTTTGCAGCTATATTTTGCACAAGTGGACGATTATTCAATATAAGCTTGACAATTATTATCTAAACCCACAATTCAATACAGCAAATATTGCATGGGTGCGTGGCAAATTTCATTGCTGCACAGAACTTCGGGGGCAGTTAAAAGTTCTTCTTAAAATTCTCAAGAGAGATGAGAAAAGCAAGCCGTGTTCCTTAACGTTGAAAATAATACTGCAGAATGTCCGTGAGTTTTACTTTTAGAGCAAAGGATCACACCACACTTAAGGGTCTGCGGATAAGTTGACTCCAGACCGACAAACAATGCCCATGGCTCATAAAGCAAAGTGGATTGACAGCACGCAAAAGGTCAGTAAAGAAACTGTAAATAAGACCATGTATAAATAACAGCAGCTTTGAAGCCACAACAACAATGGGACTCATTGCTCTTGCATTATTTTTTATAGCACTTAAAAGTCGGTTATGGGTCACACTTGGCAGGTCACAAATTGTAGATGCCTTAAACACCATCTGAATATGACATGAGTAAAACACGATACTCATGCAATCAGGACTTGCATTATGCCCGGCCCACATAAACAAAATTAACAAACAGTCACTGAATAACAAAGCTTAAAATTGGGGTATAGTGACAAAATCAGGATAAATCAATAGCAGAAAAAAATCAACAGGTAATCTGCTCAGCCAATCCAAATCTCCTCCTGTCCACAAATGGGTAAAACCACTACAATATACATATATATAAAAATACTAAATGGTTGCAAAAACCTGCACACCAACAGTCACAGCTGTGGTGCGCAGCGGAGTTTTACTTTGGCGGGGCGGGCAGGATGGCTTGATAGTTGTAGTGCTGCTGCTGCTGGTGGCTCATGATCTGCAGCTGTAAGAAGAGCTGCTGTTGCTGCAGCAAGCGAGAGTACGCCACGTCCATGGGGGGCGCTGCCTTCTCCAGCTTCTGGTCGGGTGGGATGTACTGATGGTACTTGAGCTTGCGAACCTTCGGCTTGGGGTCTTTGGACTTTTTGCGGCTCTTGCTGTCAGAGCCCGGCTTGCCCTGGCTCTGCTGAGCGGGTGAAGCACACGGTAGCAGACACAGGGCCGCGGCGTTCAGTGCGTGCAGCTACAGCCAAGAGAGTACGGCACGTGTTAAAATGGAAACAAATACGAGAGGGTTGAATTCTGGTTTGATGAATGGGCTCTGCCAGCCACCCGCCCTCCCGTAGATGCTCAGGGATCCATCCGAGAATGCCCTGGGACTTGTTGGTGCAGCCCTGGCTAACCCTGGGGTTCGTTGCTGGTGCGGGATGGTAAAGGTGAGAAAGCACAGATGTTGGAGCGTAGTACAGTTCAACATTTTCCTGCACTCCCCTTTGTTGATGATGCAAGTTGAACCATTACAATGACGAGTGAAACAATACAGAACCAACTTTGCTGGCAGTGGGAAGGTCACCGCCTGTCTCTGAGTAATTGCTTTTGGGACGAAGTACTGAGCTCGTGGCACCATTGAGAGACGTGTGGAGCAAGTAGCAGCACATGGTGATCTTTACTTATTGAACGTGTGGCACCACTGACTCACACGCAGACTCAGCAGCAGGCGATGGACCAAAATTGTTGAACACTTGGCACATTTGGAATTAGGACCAGCGACACGGAATAAAACATTTTAACGTAAAAATGCAATGCACGAATAAGACTCACGTATGGAAATGTACTTACTTTAATGAGCGTGGGCATGGACTTGCTCGGAGTGGTCATCTGCCCAGGGGACGACTGGTTGTGGTTGACTGCTGGCTGGGGTACAGGTGGAGGAAGCGGAGGCGGAGGTGGTGGTGGTGGCGGCGGCGGCGGCGGCGGCAGCTGCTGTGGTGCCATGACAGCAGCCGGGGGCTTTGATGTCTCCACTGAGCTTGGCAGCAGTGGCAGGTACTAGAGGAATACAACGTGAGGTGACCACTCATCCTTCAACAACGTCCCGGTTCAGACAACACAACTACCGTATTATCTGGATTATAAGACGCACTCCCATCCCCACCAACCTTGTGCCAGGTGTTAATAAAGTTATTCGAAGCTGGTCTCACAAACTCACAGCTATCAGATTACAGGAAGCACCCCACAAACTTTTGCTTTAAAATACAGGGGAAAAACTTTTGTTTTATAATCTGGAGAAAAGGGCATGTGCAGATATACAGTATCAAATATACTCAACTTTGTCAGATATTCTGACAAATCACACAAGTTCACATGCCATACGTTTACAACTAGCAGGACTGCTTGCTGTATTAAATTAAAACCAGAACATTGAATGGAAAATGTTTATTTCCTGTCAACCCAATTTATCTTAAAAACTTGACCATTTACCACACCGCTTGATATTTAATAAGCATAGATATCTGTCCAGATGATTTAATTAACCTATGTAATTGTAAAAAACAAGTTTAATTGTGATAATGTAGAGTTCATGGTTAATCAGTGGCATACATTTATTGAAATTGTCGAGTTAAATTAAATGTCGGCATGAAGCAGGCATGCTCAAAAACATACCCGCATACTTAGAATTTGCCTGGCTTAAGTATACAACACTTCACACGCGTGTGTTTATATTTATGTGTTTACATTTTCTTGAAGGGAAATATATTCTACTTACAGATCCAGTTTATTTTCCTCACAGCCATCAAAGTACTCATGAATGTCATCATTAAAAGCACTATATGTTGCATGTCGCCGTGTGGAATGTGCATTAGCTGGAACATTTAGTAACGTGTACATTGGGGAGAAAAAAAGCAAGGACTGCTAAAATGCAAAAAGAAAAGTTTACTGATGAAGTTCAAGCACGACCCAAAGTGAACTCTGGTAATTCTTAATGAGACGAACTGTTGAACAACTTGTTAAAATGGACAAGAAATATGTTTAAAGTGTTTCATTTTAGAATTTAGAAAACCTTAAAGATTAATTAATAATTGATGTATTGGGTCAGATCGCCGCGTGATGTACAACACACCGTCCCTGTGTGTTACACCCTCCTTCGCCTTTACACAGCCAAATAAATAAAGACGTAACGTGAACAAACGCGGCGATTCATACAGAAATCAACTTCTATCGTGGCGCGTGCCGTGCCAATGAACTCAAGAGGGGCGGTCGTGACTGTTGCATACGGCGGCAATAACATCACCAATCGCTGCCGTCGCCTCGACCGCTTCCTGCATGGAGACGCACGCGTGTGCGTCTCCATGCAAGCGTCGCGCTCACCTGTATGGTCGCGGAGGCGATGGGCGACAGCGACTCGGGGAGCTTGTGCTCCGGAGGAGAGGGCACCGAGGACGCCTGCGACTCCTGCGAGGCTGGCTGCTCCGGGGACGGCGCGTCGCTGCTGTCATCGTCGGCGTACGAGAAGATGTCTGACGTCTTTGGGTACTGCACCTGACCGACTGCCACGCGGAGATGCAATTCAAACTATGGTTATTATTGTGGCTACTACTACTACGACGACGACGTATTGATTTGTACGCGTAGAGCCCTTTTGGTGAATTCACGACCGGATAGCGGCCTCCCACCACATTGTGTGGGATATCCGAGCAGAGAAGCGCAGCACGACAAAATATTTTGTCGAACTGGCCCCTGCTGCCCACAGCGTAGCATAGCCTCATGTAGTCTGTGACAACCTTGGGTGCACGGTGGTCATCCATCCAAGCAGTATCCGAGGATGAACCCTGCTTAGCTTCTGAGATAAGACATAGGGTGCATCTCGGGTGATTGGGTCACAAGCAATGATGGTAATCCCATCACAAAAGCAGTTGAGCTTGCAGATATATTTAAAGCAGACCTATGGTGTGGAGTTTCAGCATGGAGTTCCTATGTGATGCAGTGTGGACATGCCTGCACTAAAAATAACCACGCGCGACTCCTCCTTTGCTCAAGGGATGCTTCCCAAGCACAGGGCGCACTCATTCCCTCTTTATGTCTCCCACCCATTACCACTGAGCTCATCGAGCAACTGCTAAGCAAACTTCTGCACATCTACAACATATTGCAGATGAGGCACAATGCTTGCCACATAACGAGAAGCGTGCACATTATGGGGGTGTGCCCTCAATGAGCGCACAGTTAACCGAGGTGCACATGGGGCACGCGTGCACGTTGAGAGGTCACCCGCACGTGCGAGCTTTTTTTATTTCATCTGCCCCCGTGTATCTGGTGCTGGCGGCTATGCTGCACGTGGCCTCTGACACAGCACTGTGGAGGTGAGAGATGGTGCAACACGCAGATTCGTGAAACTCCTCTACGAGTGGGCATTGAGATTGCCACCTGTTGGTTTTATAGAAGTAGTACTACAGCAAGTGGACGAATTCCCATCCACCCATCTATATTGCATCTGTACAGGGATTGTGTGTGACCCACCGCCCCCCACCCCACAGGCATGGGTTTTCTATTTTAAATCAAACAATAATTAAATTTTACCAGGTAAGACCCATTGAGCTATATAGCTCTTTTTCTTAAGTGACCTGGCCACAAAAGTGATTAAAAAACACCTCCCCCCCCCCTGCTCACACTTTTCATGCGAATGCAGAAAGATATGCAGTCGGGGGGTAAGCGAATTACAAGTAGGCAGGATGGGTCATTTAAGCACGGTGTAAGATTGCTCTTTTTCCATGAGCTGCGCCAAAATGTAGCACTCTGCCATACTTACATGGCCCCGCACCAAACTAAACAATAATTTTTTTTTATTTGACCAGGTAAGGCCCACTGAGCTACAAAGCTCTTTTTCAGAAGCGACTTGGCCACAAATGACAGCTCAACAAAGTGGCTTATCAAGAAGGACATTTCTAGCAGGGAAATACCCTAAACACATGTTTCTGAATGCGGAGGGGAAAACCGGAGGACACCGAGTAAAAATCCACGCGACTACGGGGAGAGCATTCAATCTCCAAACATACAGGCGTCAGGGTCAGGATGGAACCCACAATGTTCTGTATACCAGGCGAGGTAGTTAACATCTCGTCACTGTGGCACCCCCTTTTCTCTGGGTACTCTCGTGTTCCTCCTTCCACATGCATAAACACTCTTTAATGGATTTGGCAAAATATTGCAATATAGGACCACAGAGCAGTTTTGGCTGCCTTTGCAACTACCTTTGGTTTCTCGTGCAAAAGACATACACGTACAAAATTCGACATCATTTTGAGACAAAATGTTCATGGATGACGCTATATTCATCTGTTGAAATATATTATTATGTATCTGATGCAATGTGGATTTCACACCAGGAAGATAGACTTTCCTGTTTTGCAATGTCCTGGTCTTTCAGCGGTTTTAGCACACACAGTTGGGACTGTTGTCACAGAGCAATGGTTTAACTATACTAAGCGATCTGCAAATAACAAAAACGGCTGCTAATATTTCCCATGCGACAACAAGATCGTGCCTAATATTTACATAATAAAGTTCAATGCATTTCAACGTACATGAGCTGATCTCCCCCAATATCAACGGCTGACGGTCGGGAGACAAATTAGCGCCGGGAAATGAGCAAGTGGCACAGAGCACGCACGCATATGGGCTGTGCGTAATTCACCCTATTCTATTTCGTACATGTATGCACACGTACGTCATCGGAACAAAATCGGAAGGTAAAAATAAAATAACTTTATTGGTACCGTGGCTTCCATAAGCCCAAGTGGGAGGGTGTGTAGCACAGTTTGGCGCCAGCTATCATAAGAGTGCGGTTGTGTCGCTACAGTTCTCTATGGTGAGTATGCCTTTGAAAACGGCGCTATGCCTCTGAATAAAATTAACGCTAACCGCTTGCGCGTCCCGAGATTCAGCGGTGAACGAGACCCCCACCTTGCAACCCGCAGACGTCTCGAAACGGGAAAGGATCAATGGCAAATGTGCAGCGGCAGTGACCTTTGATGGCCTCCTTGAGGGTTGAGTCCACTGGGAGGATGTTCTTTTCAACCAGCTCCATGGGCCCCGGGCGCTGGGCGATCTTCTCGTTGAGATCGTCGGCGAGTCGCGCTCGCTTGAGCTTCATCTGCGTGGCCTGCAGCGAAGGCTCGGCCGAGGTATCTGCGCACGACAAGAGACCAGCCGCACGAAAGCTCGCCACGAGCGGTTCATCACTCATGCCTCTTGGGCCAGAGATTGCGTAGCCTGCCCCATGTGGAGTGAGAGTGACGTCACCCGTCAATGGTTATTGTGGAGGGGTGCGGTATGTGAAGTGACGTCACCCGCTCATGATTATTAACGAGGGGAGGGGTGCGGCATGTGGAGTGCGCGACCTTCTTGTGCGCGAGTGTAAATTTCCACGCGGCATGAATATTAATGAAGGGGGGGGGGCCTCTTTTGCAGTGACGTCACGTACAGATGTAGCACTGTGCTGAGTATATTTATTTTTTACACGCTTTTTATTAACTCACTTTGTCTGTTGTATCCTCCAATATTGTAACTAATTTTTTACCCACTTCCCAATGTGGTATCGACTGCAAACTTGGCATACTTATGTCATACTGATGACAATACTATATTCTATCATTAAATATAAAAAATATATATATTTTTTAAACATTATTTTTTATATGTTATGTTTCGGCTTGGGTCTAATTGTCCACGCTCAACTGACGTTGGCTGTAAATGACCACGGCCCCTCACGTTGTGGCAAGCTTCGGGGCCACTTCCTGGAGTCATCGAGTTCTTCCATTACTAATACGGTACATTTCATTAAAGCGTGTTTTTTAAAAAGTTTTTTAAAATATTATTTACCGGCACTTTCTGTTAAGAAACATCATATTTGAAGCGACTTTGTGTAATAAATTCTTTAAATCAGCTCGACCTTCCTCTGCGTTAGTGAAAAATCCACCCACTCCTGAATATTAATGAGGGGGGGTGGGCCTCATGTGGAGTGATGTCACGTGAAGGGGTGGGCCTCATGTGGAGTGACGTCACGCCAGGGGGGGTGGGCCTCATGTGGAGTGACGTCACGTGTGGGACATTCTTGGCTCATGATATTAGTAATTCTGTTGTGATAATTGTCATGTATGTATTTAATAGTTTATTAATATTACTTAAGGTAATTCATTGTTAGGCCAATATCATTATCTGCTAAATTAGCTTTTCACGAGCATCTCTGGAACGTACCCCTGGCAAATAACGAGGGGATACTGCAATAGCGGCTCATCGTTGTGCTAAATAGGCAGGCCCTCTATTCGCAAAACGGAGCACCGGGGAATACGTTCAGTAGTTATACAGCACTCACTCACATTCATAAACATGAACGGGTCACACAGTGAAGCCGCTAATGATGTCCCTCTCAAAATACACAACACTCTTATTATTTAGATTGTGCTGCTTTTCATTCATGTTAGTTTATGTTTGTTGTTTTATGTAAGAAATGTATTCAGCCAGCCAGATTTTGCTGTAGAGTGCACTCAATAAGCAATGGGAAGGTTAAAGGTGTTTCATAAACTTTTCCATTAAAAGAAAAAGAAACCTAAAAGCCTGTTTTTCTACCAAGGTCCTTAAGCAAGACAATATTTCATTTGAAGGGGAAACCAAACAAATTCTACGTAGCATACCCAATTTGTAATTTTTACAAAAAATATTACTATACCAATGATAGATATTCTACACAATACAGAATATTCACTGCCTTGCCTCTTGCTTTTTTGTTTCATTACTGGTTACTGCAATGACAAAGATCTCCCATATAGCCTTAACAAAGTGATGGAGCAAGTGCTGTTACTGAGCAACTTATTAGGGCCGTTGCAAACTATTAAGGGCTATAGCTGGGCTCATGGCGCAGCGTGAGGCCCGCTGCAGCAGCATCCAATCCCCTCTGCCAAGTCGTGATGTGACTACATCAACTAATTTTGTGCATGACATTGATCGTGATGTGTTTAATTTATCAGATGCCACCCCAGCCTTGTTTTGTTTTTCATGTTAAACGAACACAGGCGGCCGCAGGAGGACAGGCGACATTACGATCCCCCGAACAGCAGCTCACACACCTTCCAGGATGTGCATCTTCACCAGCTCGGCACGCTCCGGCCTGCTTCGGATTTTGTGCTTTAGGTAGTCCTCGGTCTGTGTGACACACACACACGAGTCGCATGTCGTTAAGTAACGCGAGCCAAACGTCATCGGGTATAACGGTAAATAATTCACAACCCTCTGTCAGTTATGGGCAGGGGCCGGCAACTTGTGGCTCCGCAGCCGCATGCGGCTCTTCAAAGGCTGCTTTTTAAGGATCACCGTCTTGAATTCACACTAGGCCTCGGCAAGGTAAGGTAAAAACAACGAGCCTACCTTCACCCTACCTTTTACCTTACCACAATACAATAATTCTACCCTACCTTTTACCCTTCAGCAGGTAAGGTAAAAGGTAAAAAGCAACGAGCCTACCTTTACCCTACCCTTTAGCCTTACCCCATACAAATTACCCGATCACAGGGTAATTACTGGGGTACTACACATGAAAAGGTTTATAATAGGCAAATGCTAGGTAGTGCTTTATTCATATATAATACTCTCGATTATTCCAATTTTACACGCTTTCTTTAAACTCACTCTGTTGTTGTTGTCATTGTTGTACCTTCAAATCTTGTAACTCAATTTTAACCCACTTCTCAATGTGGTTTCGACTGCGAACTCGGTATACTTGTCATACTGATGACAATACTATATTCTATCATTAAAAATAAAATAAAAATATTTTTAAACATTATTTTTTATATGTTATGTTTCGGCTTGGGTCTAATTGTCCACTGTCAACTGGCGTTGGCTGTAATTGGCCACGGTCCACTTACGTTGTGGCGAGCTTCGGGGCCACTTCCTGGAGTCGAGGAGTTCTGCCATTACTCGTAGATTTCATAACAACGTGTTTTTAAAAAAGTTGTGTTTAAAAATATTACTTATTAAATGGAGGCCACGGACTGCGCCACGGAGCTTTTAGCGGTAAACAAGGCACCGTATTTACCGGGTAATACTTCGCGCTACCTTTACCCTACCGGGTAATTCTTCCGAGCTACCTTTACCCTACCCTTTACCTTACCCCTTGGCATGTCGACACTTTTACCCTTTTACCCGGTAAAAAGGGTAAATTACCTTACCTTGCCAAGGCCTAATTCACACGCTTTGCGGCTCTTGAAATGAGAGGATTTTTTATGCCGGATAAAAAACATGGTTCTTCTTGTTATTTTGGTTTGCCAACCCCAGGAAATGGGGGATTGTTTAACCTTGATTCACCACAGTGGCCAGGGTGGGCTGGTGAAGTAAGGGGGAGCAAGACAAGTTCGAACATCACTTGCCACAGACGTTAGCTGTGGCTGGGTATCAAACACGGGCTACTGTGTACGTAGCGCAGTGCACGTGTTTATTTCGGCAACATGGGGTCAATCATAATGACCACAGGTATATTAAGATTCACCCAGCTAGCGATTATGTCATGATTTGAATCAAGAATCGTATCTCACGTCTCAGTTGAACGATGTCGTTTGCATTGTTTCTTGTTTATTCCGTGTCATTTGCACAGTTTCCTTTACTGCGTTCTAATACAAGGAGAGGAGACAACTCACCCTTGCGCGCTCCAGGCTTTTCCGCTGCTCGTGAAATGCAGCCGGACTCTTCAACGCTGCAAGAAAATAACAGTCACGTGACGCACATCGACAAACAACAGCAACCAGACAGCCTGAAAAATGGGGCGAAACAAAACATTTTTCTACGAATGCCAAAACCATAATTTGTAAACATTCTGAGTAACGTGCAGGTCGTTTTTCAGCATTGGGACGTTTGGCCAAAACAAGTGACATTGAACATTGTATTTTTTCCAGCTTGAACTGCATTTCAAAAGGGTACTATAATGAGCGCGTGAATGCTCATCACAACTTGATGGATGCACGCATAGATGTGTCGAATGCGCAGGAAATAGTGAGCAGGTATGGGTGCGAGCCACACGCCGTAAACGTCGCAGCGAGTTGGGCAGCTCAATATGCTCGTCTCGTCACCCCCACCCCCCACTGAGCCGTCATGGCGAGCACTCGTATTCGGCCATGTGCCAACGCCAGGGAATCATGACCAGGTTGTTGCACGTTATACTGGTCAGAGGGAACCATCTGTGAAAAAGAGCTTCATATCTCACAGATTCCTGCAGTCTAAATAAAGATTCTGATTCTGTACGCAACATCCATTAGCCGTGACAACAAGTGGCCTCACCTGCCATTACCTACGTAATGGCAGGTGAGGCCACTACGTAATGGCAGTCCCGCAAGCAGCCATGACGGCTGCTCGCAGAAGCCATGATGTATGTGTGTACGCTGAACTTCTTTCGCACCGTACGTAGCCAACAGTCCTAATCGGAGGTGCGGGGGGAAGGACAACAGACTAAACACAAATAGCAGTTGATGCTTAAACCGTGTGGTGGACAGTCAGATCAGAGAGCAATGCGGTAGTGGACGTGGCAGCCGAAGTAGCAGCAGTAGTGGCAGGGAGTGAAGGTGGCAGAGGCTTTGGGGGAACCAGGCCCTCAGCGCGTAGTGCCCACCTCAGGAGGCCTCGCTGAACACCTCTGCGCGCCCTCCCCGATTCCCTTACCTCCAAACTCCAAACGATCCAAAATGCTACAGCAAGACTCCCTTGCCCACATTCAGGAGACAAAAGTGCCCCCATCCTGGCTCTCGCCCCACTGGCTTCCCAATCCGATGCCGAGTCCGCCCCATTAAGATCACCCTCGCCATTATCGGAATCTCCGTGAACTCGACCTTGCCTAGACCGCGCCGCCCTCTAATCGCGCTCCACTCCTCTTCTCGTGCTCTCCCGCTCCACCAACCAAGGCCTTTGGGAAAAAATACTCAGCCTCTGCTCAACGCAATGTCGCTCCTTTTCTGCTTCTATCCCCGTGGTTTATAACTCCCTCTCCCCATTCATCCATCCATGCTACGAACTCCTAGACCGTTCTTTAAGTGCAGGATCCAGACCTTCCTCTTCTCCTCCATCTATAATGGTTTGCCATCGAAGAAGTATTTAAAATCACGCCCTACTGAACATATACATATAAAAATAATTCTTTGATAATGTTGGAATTAAAGAAAATGTAATGTTTTAGCTTTTCAAGTGAATCCTGTATTGCACAAAGGTATCAATGGGCTCTCTCTCACCTGGTAAATTAAAGTCTATCGTTCAATCATGCGAGGTTTTCATGGGTCAATAAAAAGTTTTTCATATGAATGAGTCAGTCACCGTCACTCCTCTGGAGATCAGTGAACTATCCACGTGCATATTATGGGCTTTAATCAAGTGCTGTGACCATCTTAGAAGTGTATTCATAGTATAGCTCTTTCTCCAGGTGATTGTGTAATATTTCCTTCCATATATACAGGGATGCAATTAAATGCAGGCTATGAACACCTGCCTACAACGATGAATTAAAAACCCTAGATATTTGTCAGTGGGAACAAAAAACAATCCATGTAACGTGCCTCACAGTATTAGCTCACTTTTTAAGAAAGAGCTAACGACCCACAGATATGAGGAACCACAGACAAGCGGGAGGGAAGACAGACAGTGAACAGGCACCAAATTCCCCCCCAAGCTCTGCGGTCCTCTTATATATTAAGGTGAAATCTTTATTTATTTTTGTGTGTTTCGTTTGCTGTCCTTCCCCTGCACCTCCGATCAGTACGGTTGGTTATGTACGATGCGAAAGAAGTTCAACACACATACGTTATCGGTCAATTCACGAGTGTTTATATGTGGGAGGAAACCAAAGCAATCAAGGAAAGACCAAGTGTGCGAGGGGGAAACACTTTATCCCATACAGACAAAACAGGTGGAGTCCACAGTTTCAGTTCCATACCTACTTGACGCCCACGGGTAAAAAGAGTTTCACGTCATTTGTGTAATCAACCAAAACTCGCTACCTCCGTAGTGCTGCAATACGGGCCTGCAGAGCCAACACTGCCACCCCGGATAAAATGAGAAATGTAACTGGAAAAAGGGAATTAAAGGACATGCGTTTAAACACAGGAGAGTGAGCAACGTGGGTGTATGCGTAGATATGGTAGAGATACAATAAAAAAACATAACTACACATGAAGACCCATTCAACTGGCGGAAATGGTGCGGTTGCAGTCCAATTACTGGACGTGTAAAGAAGAGCTTCATAGCTCATCGGATTTATCCAGGTTTAAATAAAGATTCTGAATACCCTGCTGAGAGAACAATATTGTTGGTCAACTGACGTCTGACAGCAGAAGATCACACTGCAATTGTATGGGTTAAAGATACGTTGCGCCAAGCATGTTGTATGTTGAATAGACCAGTAAAATTACCCCTGTGTAACGTGATATGTTTTTTTTTATTTGCATTTGTCGTGATATAATTTTTACCGTTTGCATATTCACATGAAAATGCTTGTAGACTTATCTGACTAAAATTATTAAAACGCAGCTCTTGTGGGACTGGACGCAAGCAGAGACAAAACCAGCGCTGCCTGTGGACACTACATAGCAATATACAGTGTGCGCGGAGAAACTGAGAAAGTTAAAAATAGGTTGAATTAGGGGTGGCCAGGTGGCTCAGAGGTCAAGAGTGCTGAGCTGGCACCGCTGAGAGAGAATCTGGCCAGCCTGTGATCAAACTGGGTTCTCAAGTGTAGCGAGTTGATGGCCTCAGCCTGATAACCCATTGCACACAAAACAATTACATGCACTTGATTTGGATGCATTCCAGCTCTGGGAATTAAATAAGGGTTTGACTGTCACGTGACAAACTATTTTCTTCGCAGTGTGTAGCGGAAGAGTTCGCTGCCGCTGCTGTTGCGCACAGAATGAAAAGGCAGTGTGAAGGATTTTTTTAGAGAAATTTCTTGACAAATGAGCTCTCTCCCATTGGGCCATTTCCGGACACAACATGTGGGGGACCCACCGCTCTGAGATTCCCAAAGGAATTATCTGTCTCATGATCTGATGCCCACCGCAGAAGTGAAATTGGGGGAAAAAGGATCAAAATAAAAATACGGAACCAAAAAAGTGAAGACACATTAGGCTAATAGCAAGTTACACTCAATACATTCCGCTTAACTATTATTCACTTACCGCCTACAGGACCCCGTCATGGAATGTGCTATCCAATGACTCCAACACCCAACATTATTAATCTTCCAAAATACGTGGTATAGTATTGTCCGCTCCAAGTACAATACAGTACTGTGGTTACATTTTATTTTATAATTTAAGGTATGAACTGCATACTCTTGCAAATCGCAGGCTTAAATATCAACCTATCAAAATAAAATTAAATCCAGAGACATATACACAATGCCTGCATTAAAAACAAGCAAACTGGATTAAAAAAACGTGCAAAGCTTTAAAGGAAACCCAGTATAATGACCAACAGTAGCTGAGCAAAAGCTGAATAATATAGCTTGACTGCACCTATGAGGTAACATCAAAGCTCACCAAAAGTGTTGCAATATATAGAACACATAGAATCTACTCACTCGTGTTGCAATATAATAAACTTACATACAAAATGACCTTCCAGTATTTTTTGTGGAACAAAAATCTTACAAATTTGTTTCTAAATTTGACAAATGGGCGACAGAGACCGTAAGCACCACACTCGCACACAAACTGCAGGGGCATCATGTTAATCGGCTGAATCACGTTTGGATGCAATCTACCAACGGCGTCGCCAATGGCATGACAGAAACCGCCAGGCGCGTTTTGCGTGTTTTCATACTTGTCATCTTGTGCAACGCACACCAAAAAACGAACCAAACAGCTGCATGCTTGACATATTTTCCCATTAATTGAAAAACCTGTGCACCGATAAGATTAACATTCTGCCCCGAAGCCACTGGTGTCCCTGGCAGAACTACGCCCTGCCCAGCCCAGAAACCAGGAATTCAGTTGGAGACCTACACGAAGCGCACTAACCACCAACACTTCTCCTGCACACTGTGCCTGTTTCTACTTATATTGCTCCAGTTCCTTGCTCAGTCCAAAACCCTGTCGCTGCTGCTGCTGCCGCTACAGTGCATTTACATATCGGCCTATACAAATACGCTTAAAATAAGCCGCTCAAAACATTTATAGGGCATTTAAAAGCTCCCTTTGTGGCGAGTAAATGGCATGTAATTTATAAACTGCCGTATTAGTGTTCTGTTCACACAAATGTAGACTGTTGTGAGCGTGAGACGCATGTTTTAATAGCCCACAAAACCCTAACCACAAAACAGAGAAGCAACGGAGCCTTTTTTTGCCTTTGCTGGCTGCTAACGGCATGAAGTCCAGACACCTATCAAGACGTTCATGACACAGCGCGCATAAAACGACATCACTGGGTCCGTTAGGCACGAGCGTGCGTCACCCCGACACGCGCTGGTGCCTAACGCAGGCAACGTCTGAATGTGAGTGAGAGAATGCCGCTCTTCCTGCAGTAACGTGGAGCGCGTGCAGGGGAGTGGCAGTGGCGGTGAGTTTCAGCGAGGGGACTTGCTCCGAGGGTGGCCAGCAGCAGCAGCAGGCACACACGAGAGTGATGTGCTGACGATTGTGTACTCACGCGGCATGATGCCCTGGTCCACGAGCTGCTCGCGAGTTCTGCGCTGCTGGAGTTTCAGCTGCAGCACTGCCATGAGACGGAAGAGTAGGAAACAGGAAGCGCAAAGTTGCAGTCACAACAAGAAAAAAACGCACGGCATGGAGGGGGGGGGAGTCGGTGGCGGCGCTAAACGTAGCATCTGTACACGACACATTTTTTTTTTAAAGCAAGAGTTCCCTTTTCTCCACACCCTTTTCCCGCGTTGCATAAGTCAACACAGCCATACCCGTCTCTGTGACACTCACAATGTACAATGAAGCGCTATCTTGGTCAAACAACGAATTGGGGGGGGGGGGGGCAGTACTCGTCTCTATAGGTGACCATGCTGTAAGGTTAAAAATTCCACTTTCCCATGGCAGGGAACAGTTTCTCCATAAGGCAAACACTATTGATTTTGCGTAGGGAAGTACTAATTCTTATACATCCCCTGTTGGAATGATCAAACCCAGTTAAACCCTGGCTGGAACTTGAACTCGCAATTTTCCGATTGTGAGTCAAGCCCTCTAAACCACACGGCCACCCGGCTGGACGGATAAGCACCTATCTGTGAAATGACACAACACACTCAACAATATTGCTAGATCCATAACAGAGAGTCATGTGTATTTACACATGCAACTGAAACAGCTGCTGCGATGGAATAAGCATAATCAGGGACACGCATTGAAAATGGGTCATTGAGGTTCTTAGCCACACTGCTTGAATAAGTAATTCTATCCCGGTTTTACCGCACTGCATATCTTGAATCCAATGTGTATTGCTTACAGAGGCTATAATTTCTCTAAAAATTATACCCGGCCACATCGCTGCCCTAACAAACTCGATCGCAGAAATGGGCAGCATATGAAAGTGAACGTAAAAAGATGCACTGGAATTATGTATACTTGTTATTCATATAGCTTATATATATTTACCTATAATGTACACGTTTCCAGATAAAGTTCGCTTTGATACTTATAGTATTTCACAGTTCAGAACGCATCGTTCTATCAATGCTTTGTCTCATACCAAATAAACACAATAACGGTAGAGATCTTGTAATGGACTAAAGCTGATAGGTTTTACATATAGACATCTCTAAGATTTAGGATGTACAGTTCAAACACTTTAAAGATATGTGGGTAATGATCAACATATTAACTTCTGGCATAGTATATTAGCCAATCAGGAATGTAATTAATTTGCCCACCTTTCTTGATAAGTGAGAAATGCTGATAAAATAAAACGGTGTACTCAGTAGAAATCGACTTGTTCATCCGTGCTGGGACGATGGTGATGGGGCATTCAGTTGTGTTTGTATCAACCCATTGACTTGCTTCAGAAATAAACCATACGTAATAGGAGGGTGATGTGGAAATATTAGCTGTCAGGTTGCAGATTAATTTGAGGCGTGGAACTGAAAATATATCATACAACCATATTTATTCTGGATTGAAAACCAAATTATGTAATTATCTATTGCAAAAGACACCTCAATCGAGACCAAACGATTGCACCTCTTGGCTTTGATATTCGTAGATGACACCGGTGCAGCCATCAACAGGACGATGCGCCCATCTCCATCAGGAATGGAAAATGAAAGTGAAATGACAGTGGCTAAAGCAACCCAAACTATGAACCATGTAGTATACCACTGTAGTCTGCAATAATTTAAACGTATGAACAGCAAAAAATTCTACAACCTCTCTCATAAAGCGCTCTTGTGGCTGGCAGACATCGACATTGGCATCCAGCTCCTGACCATATCGCTGCCACGAGCAAGATTGGAAATAGAATGGAATTGCAAAATAATTCCGTCAAATGGGCCCAGAGAACAAAATGGGAGCGAAATGAAACTTGGTGAACTTTACAAGTTATTGGTGCTGGAAAAGACTCGGGAAGCAACACCCAAGTCAGGGGTAGACTAAACAATATTTGTTGTCTCTCTCCAGCTTAAACAGACACATCACACCCCCCTTTACAGCTTATACTGTACAAGTTCACAAGGATACAAAAGGATTCAGTAAAGGGAGGCCTGGATTTTGTCCGTAAAAGGTAGACCTAGCGTGGCACATTTAAAACTAATCGTGACTAATAATGACCTCACAAACCCGTTCGGAGAAAAGTAAAAAATTTAATTTAATAAACGAGATGACGATTTGACATTTGTGGTGCCCCAATCGGATCAAAGGGATTAAAGAACCGCCCCCACCGCTCCCACTTTTCATGCGATTGCAGAAAGATAAGCAGTCGTGGAGTAAGCAAATCACGAGTTGGCAGATGGGTCATTTAAGCCCGGCGGATTTTGCTCTTTTTCCACGAGCTGAGCCAAAATGAAGCGATCTGCCACGCTTACATGGACCCGCACCAAACTAAACAATTTTTTATTTTACCAGGTAAGGACCAATGAGCTATATAGCTCTTTTTCAGAAGCGACCTGGCCACAAATGATAGATGAACGAAGTGGCTTATCATGTGGATATTAATAGCAGCCAAATACTCTAAAACATGTTTATAAATGTGGAAGGAAAAACCAGAGGGCCCGGAGAAAAATCCATGCGACCATGGGGAGAACATGCACATTCCAAATATACAGCAGGCGTCAGGGTCGGGATCGAACCCACGACCATGGTGGCGAGTTAACATCTCGCCACCATGGCGCACAAACAAGTGAATTGTATGCATGGTGTCTCACGAAGGCTATGGGAGGGCAACATTTGGATCGCACCCTCCAACCAATGTTTCAATAGATCGGGACACATTCGGGGTACTCATGACCCCACCGGTCCATCCATGGACTCGAAATGTCCACAGATATTACCATCAGAGGTTCATCTCGATTGTGGTTCCTGGCAGCCTAGCGCAACACTTACAGTGAGGGAAAAAAGTATTTGATCCCCTGCTGATTTTGTACAAAAATTGTATAAATTGATTTGCATTTTAATGAGGGAAATAAGTATTTGACCCCCTCTCAATCAGAAAGATTTCTGGCTCCCAGGTGTCTTTTATACAGGTAACGAGCTGAGATTAGGAGCACACTCTTAGAGTGAGTGCTCCTAATCTCAGCTTGTTACCTGTATAAAAGACACCTGTCCACAGAAGCAATCAATCAGATTCCAAACTCTCCACCATGGCCAAGACCAAAGAGCTCTCAAAGGATGTCAGGGACAAGATTGTAGACCTACACAAGGCTGGAATAGGCTACAAGACCATTGCCAAGCAGCTTGGTGAGAAGGCGACAACAGCTGGTGCAATTATTCGCAAATGGAAGAAACACAAAAGAACTGTCAATCTCCCTCGGCCTGGGGCTCCATGCAAGATCTCACCTCGTGGAGTTGCAATGATCGTGAGAACGGTGATGAATCAGCCCAGAACTACACAGGAGGATCTTGTCAATGATCTCAAGGCAGCTGGGACAATAGTCACCAAGAAAACAATTGGTAACACACTACGCAGTGAAGGACTGAAATCCTGCAATGCACGCAAGGTCCCCCTGCTCAAGAAAGCACATATACATGCCCGTCTGAAGTTTGCCAATGAACATCTGAATGATTCAGAGGACAACTGGGTGAAAGTGTGGTGGTCAGATGAGACCAAAATGGAGCTCTTTGGCATCAACTTAACTCGCCGTGTTTGGAGGAGGAGGAATGCTGCCTATGACCCCAAGAACACCATCCCCACCGTCAAACATGGAGGTGGAAACATTATGCTTTGGGGGTGTTTTTCTGCTAAGGGGACAGGACAACTTCATCGCCACAAAGGGACGATGGACGGGGCCTGTACCGTCAAATCTTGGGTGACAACCTCCTTCCCTTAGCCAGTGCATTGAAAATGGGTCGTGGATGGGTATTCCAGCATGACAATGACAAAAAACACACGGCCAAGGCAACAAAGGAGTGGCTCAAGAAGAAGCACATTAAGGTCCTGGAGTGGCCTAGCCAGTCTCCAGACCTTAATCCCATAGAAAATCTGTGGAGGGAGCTGAAGGTTCGAGTTGCCAAACGTCAACCTCGAAACCTTAATGACTTGGAGAAGATCTGCAAAGAGGAGTGGGACAAGATCCCTCCTGAGATGTGTGCAAACCTGGTGGCCAACTACAAGAAACCTCTGACCTCTGTGATTGCCAACAAGGGTTTTGCCACCAAGTACTAAGTCATGTTTTGCAGAGGGGTCAAATACTTATTTCCCTCATTAAAATGCAAATCAATTTATAACATTTTTGACATGCGTTTTTCTGGATTGTTTTGTTGTTATTCTGTCTCTCACTGTTCAAATAAACCTACCATTAAAATTATAGACTGATAATTTCTTTGTCAGTGGGCAAATGTACAAAATCAGTAGGGGATCAAATACTTTTTTCCCTCACTGTAAGAGGCTCTCACCGGGCTACCACCTATGAGTCCCATTAATTGCGTTTTCAACGAAGATGGCAATGACAGGATAATGATGAAGACTCTGATGCTGTTATTGATAATGGTGAAGTTCATTATAACATGTGAATGACACTCATCAAGCTATGATAGCAAAGATAAACATTGTCATCATTCATATATACGATGAGGGTACATGTACAGCATCTTAATCACTCCACCGCCAGATGAGGGAACTCGATGCTTATGCACAGAGGTCATCAGTGCGGGTTGGTGAAAGCGGGCAGCATAGACATGAGAGCACGGACGAACAGTACAACCACAGATATTTCCACACACCCAGCCACCACGTATCCCTACAGCAGCCTACAACATCTCATATTCCCTGTCAGATTCGTACCATACAGAAAATGACTACCTGCTGCCAATGCGGTTCAACAAACAGAATATCATAAATATTGATCGCTCATCATATTCATCCAAAATGATATCTTGCAACTCTTTCCTTCCCTTGCCATAAGTTAAACTGCAGCAGAGCTGCATGTCTTTGTAAAAAAAAAAACATCCTTCATGAAGTTTCCATTTTGCGGCAACGGCTACCGCTTTGCGCATCTGTGACCTGGGTAAGCATGAACCTTAAAACGTCATCAAACGTCAATGGCGTGGATTTGTGATAAT